TAGGACAGATCCGGTCAGCAGGTTACTGCTGCAAACAGTCGACAGCCGAGCTTCTGTTGATATTCCTGGATTTGCTTCGCGGGGAGTTTTGCGGAGGTGTCGCTGTTGTCGTTCCCGTAGCGATAGGGAGTCGCGACTGTGACCGGCGTTATTCTGAATTTCTTTGCGCCAACCCCTGCGTATTTTCCGGCGTATAGGTAGAGTGCCGAATCGTCTTCGACGACGTTCAGACCTAGGTACTGGCTCACGGTGTCTGACACCGTGAGTGTTAAGTCACTCCTCAGCTCCCCTTCGAACCAGGTGACGATGTCGTTAGTGGAGCCGACGTAGAGCAAGTCGTCGACATAGACGATGAGTAGGACGAAATCCCCCCCCTTCAGTAGTCGGCACATCCCTTGGTCGTGCGGCAGCTGCAGGAAGCCGATCATGACGAGGCAGCCGTGAAGGTGCTGCTGCCAAAGCCGCGGGACTTGTTTGATTCCGTAGAGGGATTTATAAGCTGGCACACTTTTGTAGGATCGTCGATGAATCCGTGGGGCTGCTCGACGAAGATCTCAGTGTCCACAGGTGCGTACAAGAAGACGTTGGCAACGAAATCTAGCATGAAGACGCCCGACTTCAGGAGAGCGCGATCGATGAAGAGATCGCCCTTCCCGTGATAAAGACGAAACCCTTTGTCGTCCGAATCGCGTTCCAGGTGAATTCTCTTCGCCATTAACTCGTTGACGCTTAGTAGATTGTATCCCAAGTTGTCGACGATGAGAACTTTATTGAGTTGTAGTATGACGTTTGTCTCCATTGACTGAAGTTGAACGACGCCTTGTCTGTTTGTTTTCAGGTTCTCGTTCTTGGCGACGGTGATGATGACATCGCGGTTGAGGCATCGCTCTCGTTGCACGAAGCGCCCGGAAGAACACATATGTTGGCCGCAGCAGCTGTCCAAGAACCAGGTGTTTCGCCCGGTGGGTTCGGCGTTGGCAGCTGCAGCGTATGTCGGGTTGACCTGGAGACCCTGTGAGCGTGGCGACAGCAGTTCTTCTTCGTCTGGAGCGTAAGTGGGTGGTGACTCGGGTCTGCAGCTGTCGATCCGTACCATGCAGTTGATGATGTTTGATGTGTCTCGTGCAGGTGTAGAGGAGCGGCTTGGCGGATTCTCTTGAATGGAGGTGACATGCGGATCTGCTGGACGATAAACTCGAGGGCGCGTGCACTTAACCTTGTAGTGTCCGGATGTCTGAAAATTGTGGCAGAACGGCGGCACGACGGTGAGACCTCTTGTGCCATATCGATTCTGCATATCGCGTCGGTTGTAGTTGTTGTCATTTCTTCTTTGAGTGTAGAACACTAATGGCTGGTGCTTGTTCCGTGGTTGTCTTTCTTCAAACAGGTCCATCTCCTGTTGTTCAGCATGAAGCTCGGCGCAGAGGTGCATCTCGGAAATTCGTCCGTGGGCGCGAAGAAGCGATCGGGTGGTTCTTCATTCTGGCCCGAGCACGGCGAGGACAAGTGTTACGAAGCTTTCTTCAGTGATTGTACCTCCGCACCGAAGCAGGCGGTTGCGAAGTGTCTGGTCGGGACTCATATACGGCATCGCCTTTTCCCCGGTCTTCATTTGTATTGTGGTCACCTGCTGCACGAGTCTGCTTTGTGTTACGCTGTCGTTTGCTTGATAGAGACACTTTAGATGATGCCAGGCGAGCTTCGCGGAGTTTCCGTAGCTCCGATACGTTCTGATGCTCTGTTGCTCTTGTGATGACAGATTTCGCAGGAGAACTTTGTACGCCAGCAGCGACTGATAAGTGAAGATTTACTGCTCCTTTGCAGTGTCATTACTTGGAAATGGTAGGGACCCGTTGAAGTATCCTAAGAGGTGCGCGGCCTCCATCGGTAGCTCGAACTCAACACTCCAGGTAAAGAAGTCGTGCCCGTTGAATGATGAAGTTGTCTGCAGTTTGATCACATGTGATATCTCGTTTGGTGTCTGTTGTGATGCAACTGCTGTCAGTTGAGCATGGGGCGGCATGAATTCGAACGTCCCCGGTGAAGAGTGATAAGGCGCAAAGGTAGGTGCCTGATTGTGGCGCCCGAATGATGAGTTGTTGAGGCTCATTGGTGCTAATCCCATATTTCCTCCGTTGCTCTGTGTTGAATGCGCAGGCGTCCTCGTCTGCTGCTGCTGGTCAAAGTGCGACATGAAGCTGAAGAACCTTTCCATAAGGTTCGGGTCCACGCTTGAAGAGGGTGAAGGGGTCACCATTTCTGGTACCCTCCCTGTTGTTTCTTGAGCAGCGCCGGTCTCAGTTTGTAGTCCTGAAGTGTGTAGTCCAGAGTTGTCGGGTTGAGTGTCTTGGGCGCTGGGTGAGCCCGTAGAAGACTTCTTGCCCTTGTTGTCCATGACTTGTAATCGATGAAGCTCTTGATGTGCTGACTGTAGATAGGATGTCGTTTGATAGGAGTTTGATCTCTGACCAGCTCTCATACCATGTTGGGCTGAGAAAAGCCCTTAGGATATTTTTCAGAGACTAAGTCCCACTTGTACAAGGTGTTTGAGTAGTGCAGCGGAAGTATTGAGTAGTTGAACCCTTGCGCTAGTATGTGAGAGCAAGTGATTGATTAAAACCATAGGCTAGAATAGCACACCAACGGAGCTCTTGAAAAAATGTTTCGTTTTGGGGCAGACCCTTTGGTGCGTTTTCTATTTCTGAAATGGTATGGGACCCGAAATTGTTTGTAATGCGAAGTACCTTTGCTACGTTATTGGTGCACGGCGATTGATTTGGCGCCAGTTGCTCGGCGGATCAAGTTGCGACTGACCGCTCACTCGGCTCAGTTTTTTCAAGAGCTCCATGGGTGTGCAATAGGTTTTTAACCCGAGGTTTACCTGGGTCGCATTTCGCACAACCCATGTGGCTGTTCGGCACACAAGTTGCACAGTTCACCTCCACCCTAGTCGCGAGTCGCGGTCGAGGGAGCTTCGTAATGTGAAGCCTTAACACGTACGCCGAATACTTTCGAGGTACAGTAGTTTTTTTTTTCGTTTCACCAAGTTGGCAAAAAGTCAAATGAGTCGCGCGCGCGTTTCCCGCCTCGTCGCACACGTGTCAAATCGGCGCCACTACGTTTCTATAATTGTTCAGCTGCCCAAAAACGCACCTCGCAAAATAGTGCTGGGAACCCGTTTTTTTTTCAAAAGAGCCATCTTCAAGAACGGCGCTCTTGAAGCCCCCCCTTTGCTATTTTAGCCTGTGGTTGTAGGAAATAGAGCAGTTGTAGAAAATAGGAAATAGAGCAGTTGTAGAATACAGTTGAAGAAACGGTTATCGAGTCGCACAGCGACTCGATTGATGGTTCGGTTACCACGCTTGCAATCGTAACGGTCAGTCGCAACCTCCAGTTGCGATCCTTCGAGTCCCTTCGTCCTTTCGTGTTCTTTCGTCCAACCTTCTCGTGTAACCTCCGTTGACTCGCGTACTCGATACACCATTTTCTTCGAGTGTAGTGTTCCACTTCAGAAACGCTCAAGTCTTCGAGGTATTTCCAACAATCAATACCCTCCATTTCTTGCATGCTATGCTTGCACATTTTTGTTGTAGGTGTTCGTCATGGAGTTGCATCCTGCCAACTTCTGCGCTCATAACAGGTATGCGTAAACGGCCAAAGTTGTTATGAATGAACAAGCAGAGTAGCACGGAAATGAATAAGGAAGTGTTGAATCACTGAATGACGATACAAGGAATGACAAGCCAAGATATAGGAACACAAAAGCTATTCTAACCGTAAGATGTGAATGTTCGAGAAGGAGATCGAAGGGTCTCGAAGTGACGAAGCGAGGCCCCGAGAACTCCCGAAGGTCGAGCTAGAAGGTCTGGAGAAGCCGAGGCGGTTTTGTCAGAAAGGTCCGGAACCGTCCTGAGGCTTTGGGTGTGTTCGATCGTACGTGATAGCAATACCGCTAGATAAGGAATGGAAAATTCCTTACAAAAGTGAGGTTTTTGTAACAACTCCAAGCCCGAAAGTTCACCATGATATCAGCCGTTTTGACAGGTCCTAGCGCTGTGCAGTACGGTTCTAGCGTTGTTAGGGCGGTACAAAACCGTTTGACTTCGGTAACCTGACATGCCAAGGCCACCGGTCACCCCCCCCCCAGCCGGTCATGCCGGACAGCCCGTTGCAATGCCGAGATGCAAACCGAGCTGATGTCCGTAGCAGCTTTGCCCCTAGCTCCGCTTGCCCGCCCGACGGCAAGCTGCCAATTCCGCAGCAGCAGGGAATTCTGGCAGGCTGCCTTGATGCCTCCATCGCGACCCCGTGCATGTGCGGAGCAGAGCGCCATGGCTGCATGTCTAGGGAGGCATGAGGTCCCGTCAGGTACAAGTGGTGGTGGCGTGGGTTGTCTCGGGCGGTGATTGGCGGGTTTGGGGAGATTCTTTCACTCGCTTGGTGGCGCGATCAGCGGTTGGGCATGGACTGGAGCGAACTGCAACTTCAACGTGAGAGCATGCGTATTGGCTGTGGTCTTGGGCATTCTTCAAATATCTTCGTAATGATGACAGAGCCACACGACACCACAATCACACCACAGAAATCACGCTGGCAGAGCTGGAGGCCTGCTGCCGCCGCAGGTTTGGAAATTGGAAGGCACGCTGGGCCCGCTCAGTTGCTTGGCACGTGCCAGGTGTCACTCGTGTCATCCCAGGTGTCACTCGTCTTGAGGCGAAAATGATTCGGGAATGCGCGTCCTCTTGAATCCCTCTCCCCCAATTCATCAAATTTCGTTCTCTGTGCACTGGACTGGAGAGTGCGTGCAGTACACGCGCTCCGATGTGAAATGCCAATTTTTACCATTCCAAAGGGCATCGTCTCACACCCGTGTACAGAAGCATTCTGTGACTAGCAATCACATATCACACACGCTCAACTGAACTTGTGACATTCTTTTTCCCTGCCCTCTTCAAGGTCAGCTCGTCAATAGTTCAGCTCAACTTGCGCAGAAGGCATCCTTTGCGTCAGTTTTCTTATTCCACAGCGAAAAGAAACCACTGTAACCGTAAAACAGCACGCTCCTATTCAAGCTAAACAGCCCCATAATCACCTTTCACAGCTCTATTGAATTCTGAGGATAGAAATGACGTCCGCTCTTCTTGAATCTTCGCGAGCCGGTGAAATCCCACCACCTTTTATTGTTCGGGCTCTAGAGATTCCTCACAACAATCTCACGCCGCACAAGGCGAAACGCCAACACCATATGGACAATTTCCTCGATTCTGGTGTGGTCGAGGGGGGGCTTCAACTCGAAGTTCGAGTTGCGATGGCGGCGAGGACGAGAAAGATGCTGCGAGCCGCGCCACGTGCTCCGTCGCAGTCCCTCTGGGACGAGCTGATAAAGTCGCGGCGCGCAGAAAACAGCTTCCACCATCAATATGACAGCGTGGTTCCGTCTGCGGCGGCACGGCTGCCGTCGGATTGGGCGGGATACTTCTCGCGGCTTGACTCGTGCCGACTCGAAGCTCGCGCCGGCCCTGCCCCGTCCCTTTTCCATCATCGCGAGCCGTTGCGAGACGTCAAGTCGTCAAAGGAAGCAGTTTCGCCGCGAGTGCTGTTCACGTCGCAAGGCACCAGCGGAGTTGTCACCACCGGCGTGACTAGCTATGAATCTTCATTACCGTCGCCGTCGCCGTCGCGGCAGCCATGGCCCTTCGTGTGCACAGTCTGCGGCTCGAGATTCGCGTCGCTGCAAGCCTTGGGCGGCCACAAGTCGGCGCATCGCGACGGCAGAAATGTTGGCGGCAGAACGCTGGGCGACAGCGGCGGTAAGACGAAGGGCGCTTCGACTATTGTGGGTGGCAAACTGGTGCACGCCGGAAAGCGCGGCTTCGAAGCCCTGAAGCATGAAAGCGAGCGCAACGACTCGGAAAGCGACGCAGCTCGTGCCAGTGACGCAAAGCGGCGGCCTGCCGTGCTGATTGGCAAGGTGGAATCGCCCGAATCGCCCGAATCGCCTCCTCGAACTCACACTCGGAGCTCAGGCGCCGGGGAAACGAGGCAGAACGGTGGACACCAGAGTGGGACCATGGACCCAGAGAGAGCAGCGATTTTGGCGGGTATTCGCCAAGAGCTGACTCGACTCAAGCGCCAGAAGGTGTCCCACGTGGCAGAGGTGCCTGCAGGAGCCGTTTCATCTGAGGGATGTGAAGCTGACGTGGCGAAACTTGAAGCTGACGTGGCAACAGTTGAAGCTGACGTGGCGACACGTTCAATTTCAGCTTCAAGTGCAGCAATGGGTGGATGCGGTGAGATGGTGCGGGCTGAAGAGACCGAGGAGCAGCAGCAGCAGCAGCAGCAGCAGCAGGAGGAGGGGGGGAAGAAGGAGGACGAGCAAGAGAAAGAGCGAAAAGAGCAGCAAGAGCAGAGAGAGCTGAAAGATAGTAACGATGCTGCCTTTGGAACAGTGGAGTTGGAACTTTTTCGCTTCACAGGGGTAGGCACTGAGATGGTGTGGGGCTCTAGTAGGGTGGATGGCACCCTCCCTGTGCTCCCATGCTCCTTGTGCCGCCCTGGGAGTGCTTGTGAGGAGGAGCAAGGTCTACCGCTTTGCACCGCTGTGCACCCTCCTGCACCAGCTCCAGTGGTAGACCTGGCCTTGCACCTCTGAGGATACCTACCTTGCATTGTTGTGCTCCATGATGATGGATACCTACTGTAGGTAGTCAGTGGATGGATGTATAGCTCTTTTTCGCCCCGGCTGGGGTGTAGAACTCTGGCTGGGATGCGGTAGTACATTGTCACAGAATGCTTCTTCCCTAGGTACAAACCGTACGTTTGTGCATTCTGCTGATTCATGACTGACTAATAATTTGGAACGCACGCTCATGTCATGTCATTTGGCATGTGGCATGGCAAGTGAAGCTGCGCAAGAACGGAACTGGCTGCATGGGACTTGGAAGCACAAACACCGCACTGCACCTTGCAGTATCATGTATGTAGTAGAACACAAGTGAGCAAACATACCTACGCCAGCGGTGAGCGGCGGAGCTTCAGCGTATTTCAGCAGTGGCAGCTCATTATCGCTTCGAGAGAAGAAAGACGACAGCAGAGGGCATGGGTGGGTGGGTGAAGCGTGGGTAGATGGAGCTTGGTTAGGGGTGAAGCTGGAGCATGCATGAGGATGATCTTGCACCAAATCAAGAGCACCGCATATCGCAATGGATGGAAACGGTGGCAGCGAAAATGGCTGGCAGCATTTGTAGAAGAAAAAAAATATATAGGTACCACAACTGCATTCACAGCAGGAGTGCTGCGGCTCGAAACTGCTGTGACTCATGCTGCTGCGAGGGTGCTGCTGCCCGCTGCTTTTAACCCGACTAAAAAAGCAGTCAGAGCTTGAGTGCGGCTGCTCGCATCGCCTGTGGCTCGTGCTGTGATGGCGCTGCTGCCCGCTGCTTCTTGGCGCCAGATGCTCTGATGTCCTGGATGTGCGAGAAGACCTGATAAGGGGGGGGGGGGGGGGGGGGAGACGGAGAGACACGGATCAGCAAGGGAGGGTGTGTTGAGTGAGGGAGGGTGTGTTGAGTGAGGGAGGTGTGTTGAGTGAGGGAGGGTGTGTTGAGTGAGGGAGGGTGTGTTGAGTGAGGGAGGTGTGTTGAGTGAGGGAGGTGTGTTGAGTGAGGGAGGTGTGTTGAGTGAGGGAGGTGTGTTGAGTGAGGAAGGGTGTGTTTAGGTTACTCAGTGCTTCTTGAAGCCAGATGCACTGACGTCCTGCACTGACGTCCTGTATGTGCGTAGAGAACGCGGGTAGGAAGAGTGTAGCTGAGCGGCTGCAGATGGACGATGGTACGTGGGATTCGGGAAGAGCGCACCTTGGTTGAGTTGGTGAAATCCGACAGGCCCTGCTTTGCCTGCCCTCGCTCCACCACTCGTATCTTGCGCCCACCACTGCCACCACTGCCACCACCAGCAGCAGCCTGTGCGGCCCCTGGAGCCGCCTGAGCGTTTCTCTGGTCCTCCGCCTTCTCCCCTGAATAAGGAGCAAAAGCCGGGAGAGCGGAGGGGGAGGGGGGGGGGGGGGGGGGGTGGGGGGGGGTGGGGGGGGAGGAAACCAGGAGGTGATGGGTGAGTATGAGACGACATGGGGAGGTGATGGAAGCATTGATGCTGAAATGATGCAGGGTGCAACTTTTGAGTCGACTCAAAAGCTGATGCAGGGTGCAATGGAAACCACAGGAGCAATGGATGCCACGCGCTTGAGCTTGCTGCGAAGGCGCTTCCTGTTGCCACTCTCCATCTCTTGAGTCAAGTCGACTCACAAGCATAAAGCACAGAATGAACGGCAATCACAAAAGCAAGAAACCCACTCACCTTTCCACTTGCGCTTGAGCTTGCTGCGAAGGCGCTTCCTGTCGTCCCTCTCCATCTCCCCCTCCCCTTTAACCATCCCCCGCGCGCTCCCCTTCCTCCCCCCGCCTGCCCCCACGCCCTCCTCCCCTCCAGCAAACACCTCCTCTGGAGCTAGCATGCTGGCCGTTGACACTGCCACCGGCGCCACCTGAGGAAGGGAGTGATGAGACATGGGATGGTGAGACACGGGATGGTGAGACACGGGATGGTGAGACACGGGATGGTGAGACACGGGATGGTGAGACACGGGATGGTGAGACACGGGATGGTGAGACACGGGATGGTGAGACATGGGATGGTGAGACACGGGATGGTGAGACACGGGATGGTGAGACACGGGATGGTGAGACACGGGATGGTGAGACACGGGATGGTGAGACACGGGATGGTGAGACACGGGATGGTAAGAAGAGAGGTGCTCGAAGTACACAAGTCATTGGTACAGTTCCAATGGCTTCTGTACCTCCCTTGAGCAATGGACGATAGATATCCGGGCAAGTCAGCCCAAAGAGTCAAGCACACTCAATTGAAGGGAACGGACAATCACTTAGTTGTCGACAGCCGACAGCCGACAGCCGACAGCCGACAGTCGACAGCCAACGCCTGACACCCGACACCCGACAGCCGACGCCAGACAGCCGACGCCCGACGCCCGACAGCCGACGCCCGACAGCCGACGCCAGACAGCCGACGCCCGACAGCCGACGCCAGACAGCCAGCGCCCGACAGCCGGCGCCCGACAGCCGACGCCCGACAGCCGACACCCGACAGCCGACGCCCGACACCTGACACCCAACAGCCGACAGCCGACAGCCAACAGCTGACGCCCGACAGCCGATGCTTGACAGCCGACGCCCGACAGCCGACTGCCGACAGCCGACAGCCGGCGCCCCGACGCCCGACAGCCGACGCCCGACAGCCGACAGCCGACAGCCAACAGCCGACAGCCGATGCCCGACAACCGATGCCCGACAGCTGACACCCGACAGCCCATGCCGACAGCCGACTTCCGACGAATGACACCCAACGACAGCCGACAGCCGACGCCCGAAAGCCAACGCACGACCGCAGACACCAGACCCCCGACGCCCGACAGCCGCCACAAGACAGCCGACGCCCGACAACCGACAGCCGGCGCCCAACAGCCCACAGCCGACGCCCGACAGCCGACAGCCGACAGCCGGCAGCCGACGCCCGACAGCCGACAGCCGACGCCCAACAGCCGACAGCCGACAGCCGACGCCCGACAGCCGACGCCCAACAACCGACGCCCGACAGCCGACGCCCGACAGCCGACACCCGACACCCGACAGCCGGCAGCCGACAGCTGATAGCCGACAGCGGACAGCCGACGCCCGACGCCCGACAGCCGACGCCCGACAGCCGGGGCTTACGCTAGAAGGGTAGCTACCCTAAATGTCGAGAAATTAAGAGTTGTTCAAGCCCCGAACCCGGATTTTAACAGGTTGGAATTTTCCGAAACTCTGAATGTTTCCGACTGGATTCTCCTTGAAAGCCTGATCCGTTCCGTGTACTATTTTCATGAATCCTGACGAACTAGTCTCGTAGCATGGAGCTCTGTGAGGAGAACTTCCATTCCACTGCGTGGTGGCGAAGATTCTCACGTCACGAATCAGAAAAGGTACTTGGACGATTTTAGGACTTAAGCGAATCAGCCTAGTCGTGTTCTCTGCACACATCAGGGGAGATGACTGACACGACCTTTGGCAGGGTTGCTATGTCGAGAACTCGGAAGGATTCTGGGTGAAATTTCCTTGGGATCCGGAAACTTCTGGGTACTTCTGGACCCCATCTCGGGACCCTCCGAAACTCCCTAGGACCTAGCGTAAGCCCTGCCGACAGCCGACACCCGACACCCGACAGCCGACTTCCGATGACTGACACCCGACAGCTGACGCCCGACAGCCGACGCCCGACAGCCGACGCCCGACAGCCCACGCCGACAGCCGATCCCCGACAGCCGACGCCCGACACCTGACACCCAACAACCGACAGCCAACAGCAGACAGCCAACAGCCGACGCCCGACAGCTGACGCTTGACAGCCGACGCCCGACAGCCGGCAGCCAACGCCCGACAGCCGACAGCCGACAGCCGACGCCCGACAGCCGATGCCCGACAGCTGACACCCGACAGCCCATGCCGACAGCCAACGCCCGAGAGCCGACGCTCGACACCCAACAGCCGACAGCCGACAGCCAACGCCCGACAGCCGACAGCCGACAGCCAACAGCAGACGCCCGAAAGCCGACAGCCGACAGCCGACGCCCAGCAGCCGACAGCCGACAGCTGACGTTCGACAGCTGACGCCCGACAGCCGACAGCCGACAGCCGACAGCCTACAGCCGACGCCCGACACCCGACGCCAGACAATAGATGGCCGACAACTGACGGCCAACGCCCGACAACCGGCGCCCGACACCCGACAGCCGGCAGCCGACAGCTGATAGCCGACAGCTGACACCCGGCGCCCGACAGCCGACGCCCGACTTCCGACGACAGACACCCGACAGCCGACGCCCGGTAGCCGACGCCCGACAGCCAACGCCCGACAGCCGACAGCCGACACCCGACGCCCGACAGCCGACGCCCGGTAGCCGACGCCCGACAGCTGAAGCCCGACAGCCGACGCCTGACAGCCGATGCCCGACAGCCGACGCCCGACAGCCAACGCCCGACAGCCGACGCCCGACAGCCGACACCCGACAGCCGACGCCCGACAGCCGACACCCAACAGCCGACAGCCGACAGCCAACAGCCGACGCCCGACAGCCGACGCCCACCCGACACCCGATACCCGACAGCCGACACCCAGCAGCCGATGCCCAGCCGACAGCCGATAGCCAACAGCCGACAGCTGACGGGCAACAGCCGATGCCCACTCCACCCATCCTTCCATCACCCCCAACCATACCTCTTCCATGGCGATGGCCGGCACATTGGCCGTGACGTCAATGTCGTCCATGATCTGCCGGGGGGGAGAGGGGGAAGAGGAGGAGCAGAGAGGAGAGGGGGCGAGGAAAGGGGGCGGGGAGTGGGGGCGAGGAGACGGGGCGAGGAGAGGGAGCAAGGAGAGGGGCGAGGAGAGGGAGCGAGGAATAAGAGAGAGGCAACTGCAACACAGCACACGGGCACACGGGCTGCAACACAGCACACGGGCTGGTGGCAAGTTGGCTGGGACGGAGAGAGAGGGGGGAGAAACAGAGTACAGAATCTGTTGACCATTGTCCACCGTGCATCCTCTCAACGTCTTATGTCAAGTGCCCTCAACGTGACCTCAACGTGCCCTCAACGTGCCCTCAACGTGCCCTCAACGTGCCCTCAACGTGCCCTCAACGTGCCCTCAACGTGCCCTCAACGTGCCCTCAACGTGCCCTCAACGTGCCCTCAACGTGCCCTCAACGTGCCCTCAACGTGCCCTCTTGTCTCATTCGTCACACTGAAGCGGGAGGAGGCTTGGCTTGAGTGACATTTTTTAGGCTTCTCAAAGATGACTCCACTGTAGCCACGCTGGATGAGGGAGCGGGAGGAGGCTTGGCTTGAGAGAAGCGAGACACAGGGAAAGATGCTCAGTGGGGGGGCGACTCTTTGTGGGGGCGGCTCTTTCCGAAGCCAACAAAAAGGAAAGAGGCTGTGTTTGCTTGGGCGGCCAGCAAAGGATAGACGAGAAGAGAGAACAAACGCGAACGTTAGGAGAGCCAGGTGGGGAAGGGGGGGTTGGAGAGGGAGATGTGGGGGAGGGCAGGTGACATTTGGGGAGGATGCGGGGAAGATGTGGGGGAGGGAAGGTGGTGCAGGGTGGGAGGAGGAGAGGGGAGATAGGTGGGTGGAGGTTCCTCACTGGTTTGGGAGCAAAGTGAAAGTGCGAGAGGGCGTCTAGCTTGGTGCAGAGGTGCTTGAACATGCGTGCCGCCTGTGTGGGGAAGGATGGGGGAAGGATGGGGGGGGGATGGGGGGAGGATGGGGGGAGGATAGGGGAAGGATTGGCGGAGGATGGGGGCAGGATGGGGGGCAGGATGGGGGGCAGGATGGAGAAAAGGATGGGGGAAGGAACCTCCGTCCAAGCGCCCTCCGTCCAAGCGCCCTCCGTCCAAGCGCCCTCCGTCCAAGCGCCCTCCATCCAAGCGCCCTCCGTCCAAGCGCCCTCCATCCAAGCGCCCTCCGTCCAAGCGCCCTCCATCCAAGCGCCCTCCGTCCAAGCGCCCTCCGTCCAAGCGCCCTCCGTCCAAGCGCCCTCCGTCCAAGCGCCCTCCGTCAAAGCGCCCTCCATCCAAGCGCCCTCCGTCCAAGCGCCCTCCATCCAAGCGCCCCCCGTCCAAGCGCCCTCCATCCAAGCGCCCTCCGTCCAAGCGCCCTCCGTCCAAGCGCCCTCCGTCCAAGCGCCCTCCGTCCAAGCGCCCTCCGTCCAAGCGCCCTCCGTCCAAGCGCCCTCCGTCCAAGCGCCCTCCGTCCAAGCGCCCTCCGTCCAAGCGCCCTCCGTCCAAGCGCCCTCCGTCCAAGCGCCCTCCGTCCAAGCGCCCTCCGTCCAAGCGCCCTCCGTCCAAGCGCCCTCCGTCCAAGCGCCCTCCGTCCAAGCGCCCTCCGTCCAAGCGCCCTCCGTCCAAGCGCCCTCCGTCCAAGCGCCCTCCGTCCAAGCACCCTCCGTCCAAGCACCCTCCGTCCAAGCACCCTCCGTCCAAGCGCCCTCCGTCCAAGCGCCCTCCGTCCAAGCGCCCTCCGTCCAAGCGCCCTCCGTCCAAGCGCCCTCCGTCCAAGAACCCTCCGTCCAAGCACCCTCCGTCCAAGCACCCTCCGTCCAAGCGCCCTCCGTCCAAGCGCCCTCCGTCCAAACGCCCTCCGTCCAAGCGCCCTCCGTCCAAGCGCCCTCCGTCCAAGCGCCCTCCGTCCAAGCGCCCTCCGTCCAAGCGCCCTCCGTCCAAGCACCCTCCGTCCAAGCACCCTCCGTCCAAGCACCCTCCGTCCAAGCGCCCTCCATCCAAGCGCCCTCCGTCCACGCACCCTTCGTCCGCGCACCCTCCGTCCGCGCACCCTCCGTCCAAGCACCCTCCGTCCAAGAACCCTCCGTCCAAGCACCCTCCGTCCATGCACCCTCCGTCCAAGCACCCTCCGTCCAAGCACCCTCCGTCCAAGCACCCTCCGTCCAAGCACCCTCCGTCCAAGCACCCTCCGTCCAAGCACCCTCCGTCCAAGCGCCCTCCGTCCACGCACCCTCCGTCCAAGCACCCTCCGTCTGCGCACCCTCCGTCTGCGCACCCTCCGTCCACGCGCCCTCCGTCCAAGCACCCTCCGTCCAAGACCCTCCGTCCAAGCACCCTCCGTCCAAGCACCTCCCGTCCAAGAACCCTCCGTCCAAGCACCCCCGTCCGGCCAAGCATCCCCATCCGTCCGTCCAAGAACTTTCCCCCCCTCTCTCTCCCCCCTCCCTCCCAGCACACGTGACCATACCTCGTGTTTGATCTGCTCGGTGGCCGTCATGCTCTCAGGCGCCTGCCCTGCTGCCTTGAGGAACTGAGCCTCGTAAATCTCAGCAAGGCCCTTGGCGCTGGGGTTGTCGTCCTGAGAGGGAGGGAGGGGTCAACAGAGAGGACAGACAGCGAGGTGGGCGCAGTGTGGGGGGTCAAAAACAGAGGCGCGGGTTTAGGAGAGCAGGCGAGCAGGAACAGGAACAGGAGTAGGAGTAGGAGCAGCAGGAGAAGGGATCAGGAAGAGGAGCAGGAGCGGAAGCAAGAGCAACAGAAGCAGGATGAGGATCAACAGCAGAGCATCGGCCAGCCACTCACCAGCTCCAATCGCCCCTTGACAGGTGTCGCGACGGGCTTGGCCTTGCGCTCCACGTCATCAAATTGTTGCTGACGCGGACAACATAACGGGGACAGGGATGGGTTGGAAATTGGAGTAGCGGAAATGTGGATGTGGGTGATAGTTTTTAGTGAAAGAATGAGATTCTTGAAGTGAGGGATGACATGAGGATGAGACCCAATGGGAAGTCTTTTGAGTCGACTCAAAAACACACATTAGGATGAGACCCAATGGGAAGTATTTTGAGTCGACTCAAAACACACATTAGGATGAGACACAATGGGAAGTATTTTGAGTCGACTCAAAACACACATTACGATGAGACCCAATGGGAAGTATTTTGAGTCGACTCAAAACACACATTACGATGAGACCCAATGGGAAGTATTTTGAGTCGACTCAAAACACACATTAGGATGAGACCCAATGGGACGTATGTTGAGTCGACTCAAAACACACATTAGGATGAGACCCAATGGGAAGTATTTTAAGTCGACTCAAAACACACATTACGATGAGACCCAATGGGAAGTATTTTGAGTCGACTCAAAACACACATTACGATGAGACCCAATGGGAAGTACGTGAAGGGGGCTGCCAGTGGCAAGGGCCAGAGGAGAGGTTGGCAGTGCCGGCCAGTTACGAACAAGAGCGAAACGGGGAAATACGATTTAAAACGGAGAGGGAATGGTGCCACCACTGATGGATGTTTCCCTGCTTGCTGCTTATCCCTTCCCCCCTTCCCGGTCCCCCCTACCCCCTCCCCCGTCCCCCCTCCCCGGTCCCCCGTCCCCCTTCCCCCTTCCCCCTTCCCCCTTCCCCCTTCCCCCTTCCCCCTTCCCCCTCCTCCTTCCCCCTTCCCTCCTTCAACCCTTCTTCCCCGCTCTACCACCCACCTCCCCCCCCCTCCCCCACCGCCCTCCTCCAATCCAATCCACACTCACATTGAGGATCCGCTTCTTGATGATCTCCTCAATCGTTTGAGTCACCTCCTCTGTAATCACGGGCACCGGCCGGGCGGCGTGCTCAAAGTCCAGGTCGGCCGCCAGCGCGCTGTTCTTCGGGCGGCTGCCAGCTGTCACCTCGCCACGCATCGTCCAATGCCGCGCCGCCACGTGCAGGTTCTCCTCCTCCAGCTGCCGCATGCGCTTCCTCAGCCTCTCTAGCCGGATCTCATACAGAGACTTGGGCTGTGACGTTGTTGGGGGGTGGGGAGCGGAGGGGGGATCCAAACGTTGGTGTGTGCTGGGTTTAAGCCGCCACATGCACGTTCTCCTCTCCTCCTCCAGCTGCCGCATGCGCTTCCTCAGCCTCTCTAGCCGAATCTCGTACAAGCACTTGGGCTGTGACGTTGTTGGTTGAGGGGGGGTGGGGGGTGGGGGTTGGGGGGGGGGAAGGGGGGAGGAGGGGGGGGGGGGGAAGGGGGGGAGGAGGGGGAGGGGGAAAGGGGGGGAGGAGGGGGGGGGAGGTTATATCCAGACGTTGGTGTGCGCTTGGTACAGCGCCGCGTGCAGGATCTCCTCCTCCAGCTGCGGCATGCGCTTCCTCAGCGGCGCTGGAGTCGAATCGACTCTCGAATCGAATCTTCCTCAGCGCTGGAGTCGAATCGCGTACAAGGACTTGGGCTGAGAGAGGAAGGGGCACGCCCGAGAGAGAGGGCGTGGCAGGCACGGAACAGACACGCACGGCACGGCAGGCAGGAAACAATTTTTTAGGCGCCTCAAAACTAGCCTCCTCACGCACGGCAGGGAACAGACACGAATGACATGGTCGGGCATGGTTGCCGCGCCGCCACGAGCAGGCTCTCCTCCTCCACCTGCCGCATGCGCTTCCGTAGCCACTCCAGCAGAATCTCGTACAGCGACTTTTGAGCCGCCTCAAAACTTGGGCTGAGATGTTGCGACGTGGGAGGGGGATGTGAAACAGGAGTGTGGGAGGGGGTCTAGTTTTGAGGCGCCTCAAAAAAGACACAGGAGAGAACATTTTGAGTCGACTCAAAAGTCACCTGTGGGATTGTGCGAGGGAGAGAACAGAACAACTGAGCTTGGTAAGGCACGGCTGCCGCGCCGCCACGTGTAGTCTCTCCTCCTCCAGCTGCCGTATGCGCTTCCGTAGCCAGTCGAGCCGAATCTCGTAGAGTGACTTGGGCTGAGACGTTGCGACGTGGGAGGGGGTTGTGAAACAGGAGTGACTTGGGCTATAAAATTGGAAGGGGAGGAAAGAGTGATCGGAACGGCACGCGAGGGGGGGGGGAGAGGGAAGAGGGAAGAGGGAAGAGGGGAAGACAAAGGGAGGGGGAGCAGAAAAAGGACCAGTGAATGTGAAACTTGATAATCTGCCCGCTCAGTCACTAAAATACTCTGCTTTCCGGGCTCCACCCCAGCCTCATCCCCCCATCCGCCCCTTCCCATCTCTCCTGCCTGCTCTTTCAGGTTTCAGCCGATTCTCCCTAGCATCCCCATGTATTAACGCACCTCCTCATCCTCCTCCTCGCCGCCCCCCTCCTCCTCCTCATCCAACAATCCCTCTTTCCTGCTCCCTACCACTCCCTTCCCCTCCTCCCCTCCCTCCTCCTCCTCCTCTCCCCCCTCCCCCTCCCCCTCCCACTCCTCCACCTCAACATCTTCCACATCCTCCTCCTCCTCCTCTTCCCCCCTATCCGCCTCTAGATGACTCTCGGGTGCCTTGCGCCCGAAGAAATCCTCGTACCTGCGCAGAAGAGGGGGGGGAAGCAGGGGGCATGGGAAAGCATGGGTAACAGCTTCCCTCCCCCCCCTCTTCAACATCCTCCACATCCGCATCACCCCCCTCCTCTTCCCCCCTATCCGCCTCCAGATGGCTCTCAGGCACCTTGCGCCCGAAGAAGTCCTCCTCGTACCTGCGCAGAAGGGGGATGGAGCAGGGGGGAAGCAGGGAGGAAGCAGGGAGGAAGCAGGGGGCATCGGAAAGCATGGGTAACGGCTTCTTCATCCCCCCCTCCATAGCTTACACGTCATCCCTCTTCCCCCCCTTCCCTCCCCCGTCCCCCCTCATCGCCCTATCCGCTTCCAGGTGAGTGGAAGCTTTCCCCTTGGGTAACTGTCCGGTGCTTTCCTCCCAAAATGTTCCCTTGGGCGCACTTGCATGGCAGGACAGGAAAAGCTCGACGGCATGCCACAAGTCACGTTAGTGCGTGATTACCGAAAATAAGAGCCAAGGCTCATGACACGACTCACCTGATCTTGGCCCCATCCAGCAGCCCTCTCTTCTTCCGAGCTGTCTTCCGCTCTCCCTGCACACACACACACCACAAATGCAGGCGACGTAGGTTGCAGTGAATTCCGGGAAAAAAAAAAAACAAACAAACAAACAAACCTACTTCCGAATACAAGGCAACATTTGATTCGATCCAATAGTCATACATAAACACACAAAGGGAAGGAACACACTCAAACAAAGCCCCTACTCACTCCATGAGGAAACACAAAGCACCCCCACACAAGCTCACTCCATGCTCTTAACCCAGCCCTACCCATGCCTTCCAACCTTTCGTCCATTCCATCTAGTTTTGAGGCGCCTCAAAACCATCTCGCCCACTGGCCTTGCCATGCCATCCCTTACCATCCCACCAGGCCCTCTCATCCCCCTTACCGCCTCCTCTTCTTCCTCTTCTTCATCCTCCCCTACCCCCTCCTCCTCCCCCCATGGGGGGAACCCGCCCTGTAAAGCGCATCAAATCAAACGCCCCCTCCCAACCCGCCTTACCTCGTCCTCCTCGTCGTCCTCATCCTCCTCCTCCTCCTCCTCCTCCTCCTCCTCCTCCCCCCCATCAGGCGAGCCCGCCCTGTACAGCGCATCAAAGGCCCCCTCCTCATCCTCCTCCCCCCCCTCCTCCTCCTCCCCCTCTCCCCCCTCCTCCTCTTGCGCTCTCCTTGCTTTCTTGATCTCTTCCATCAACGCCAATTCATCCTCATCCTCCTCCCCCTCCCCATCCTCCTCCCCCTCCCCATCCTCATCTTCCGACCCCAGCATTACCCCTTTACTCCTCCCCTCCCCCATCAACCCCTCTGCCCCCTCCTCCTCCTCTTCCTCCTCCCCACTCTCCCCTTCCAAACCCCCAAACCCTAAACCCGCCACCCGCTCATCGTCCTCCTCACTCCCCTCCCCTTCCCCACCCTCCTCCTCATCTTCCCCCTCTTCTCCCCGCATCTCCTTCCGCTTCACGTTCCTTCCCCTTTGTCCGCTTTCCCCCTTTCCGCCTCCCCCCCTGACGAGCTCCGGAACCCTAAAGAACTCCTCCCCCGCAACCACCGCCTTCCCTTCCGTCAGCTCCTCCGCCCGCTTTAGCCGCCGCCGGATGCGGGGGAGCGTCGGCGCCAAGGCGAGGTCCAGCTGGCACCAGATCTGCTCCGAGTCAAATCCGTCCACGAAGAGCCCCGGAAGCTTCCTCTCCGGCGCTAGAGACTGGGATTTCATCAATCTGGCCGCTCCTTTTTTCCCTCCGCCAGATGCGGCGTTAGATGCGGCGTTCTTTGCGGCGTGCAGGTTGGACATTCCGGTGTCAAATATGGTCTTTACCGCGGTGCGAAGCTGTTGCGAAAGGTCCGAGGAAGGTGCGAGGAAGGAGGTGGGTGGAAGACCGCCGAGCGACTCGAGAACGGCTTTAGTGGCCTCATCCTCGTTAGTAGCCGCACCAACCTTACTAGAGTCATCCTCGTTAGTAGCTGCAGCAGGCATGACGCTCTTAACGGGTGTGTGGGGCGCAATACCTCGGAGCAAAGGCTGCACTAGTAGGTAGGTGAAACTACGCTGGTCGTCAAAAAGAATCAACTCTACAAAATCTCTCACCGTGACTGGGTTTCTTTACGCAGGCTCCGATAGGACAACTCCAACTGCGTGACCGGGCGTAACAGCTCCCCCTATTACCCTTCTACCTCACTGGTCCGGCTGCGATGCGACAGTGCGATAGTTCCCGCCTGCTTGGCCAGGCTTGGGGAATCGGAAACCTGAACGGGATGGGTAAGGGCGTGGTAGGGTGAGCGGGAATTAGGGTTGCTGCGACAAGCTGGTTGCTGAGAGGGGGGTTTTCGTTGCGGGTGTAGGGCGTGCGGGAAGGGGTTTGGAACGGGAATAGAGTCAAAGTACTAGCGAAATAAGATCTCAGTACAATTTTTTTGTGTGATGTTATCTACCTACAGAGATATCTTGTAGCGAGTATCAATCCAACTTTGTTTCTGCGCCCGTCATCCCTATCCCGCTCAATCTGAACTCCATGCTCCTTAGTTCATCCAGCTTCGTTTCTATCCAGTCTTCTTCCTAGCAACATGCAGCTCCCGTTGGATCAATAACCCTTGCTACTGTTACTTTTTCTCCGTCGTTTCGCCACGTCGCATCGCCGTCATGTTTCGCCGCCTTCTGTTCCGCTTGCTCCTTCCGAAGCAGCATTTTCGCGCAAAACCGAATCCAGGACTCTCCACCGCATTCCACCACGACCCTTCACCTTCTTATCGCGATGCCTCTATATCGCGCATAGATTGCGAGCCTTCCGCCCCGGATATGGAGTACCTGCGCTTCTTCCGCCAGCGCATGGCGGAATTCCGCGCGCTCGGGGGGGAAGTGCTGGTCGGCGGGGGGAAACAGGCGGAGAGTGCAGGGGAGGGAAGGGGAGCGGCACTGAATCCGCTGCTGGTGCCGTTCATTGACCTCAACATCGCTCCGCTCCGCAGGATATACGCCTGGTAGGTCGCAGTGTAGTCGCTGAAGGGAGGTAGGTTATGGGCAAATCGATGGAATCCGCTGTTGATTTTTGAGGCGCCTCCAAAATCTCCGCTGTTAAAAGCATATATATTCCAGATCAAACGACATTTGGCGTTCCTCTGGCCGCCGCCCACCCCATCCCCTCCCCGTTGTAGGTGATTTTTTAGAATTCTCAAACATCACCTACGGCACATACATTTCAGATCAAACGACATTTAGCGTTCCTCTGGCCGCCGCCCATCCCATCCCCTTCCCTGCCTCGCAGGGCCGTACCCACTGAGGCAGCATTGGCAGCCATTAAAAGCGCTGCTGGGGAGGAAGGAATAGTTGAGGTGAGAGTGAAGGGGGAGGAGGGAAGGAATGGGCAAGGCGGGCAAGGGGGGCAAGGGGAGGAGGGAGGAGGAAGAGAGTACAGTGGGCGGGCGGGTGTAGTTTTGCGCCAAAGGGGAACTACACTACACCAATGGGGATTTTGAGTCGACTAAAAAAAAAAATGAATTTTGAGTCGACTCAAAATTCGGGTGTAGCGTGGCAGCAAAGGGGACTACACTACACCAATGGGGATTTACAGTGTGCTGCATGAGCTGGCACAGTCCGTCACAGCATCAAGTGTTTGGCATCAGGTGTTTGGCATCAGGTGTTTGGCATCAGGTGTTTGGCATCAGGTGTTTGGCATCAGGTGTTTGGCATCAGGTGTTTGGCATCAGGTGTTTGGCATCAGGTGTTTGGCATCAGGTGTTTGGCATCAGGTGTTTGGCATCAAGTGTTTGGCATCAAGTGTTTGGCATCAGGTGTTTGGCATCAAGTGTTTGGCATCAGGTGTTTGGCATCAGGTGTTTGGCATCAGGTGTTTGGCATCAGGTGTTTGGCATCAAGTGTTTGGCATCAGGTGCTGATCATGGCTTTGGCAAAGAAGCCCTATTGTGGCGTCTGTGTGTGTTACTCTCACGGTACGCCGCCTTTCTTCCATCTCCACCATAACAGGTGGGCGCAGGAACAGGTTATTGGGCGGCATTGCTCCGGAGGAGAGGCGTTGACGTGGCAGCGTATGACTGGACGCCTCTGGACAGCTGCAGAAGAAGCACCAGCATCAGTGGCAGCAGCGGTGGCAGTGGCAGCAGTGGCAGCAGCGGCAGCAGTGGCATCAGCAGCCGAGTGAATGGGCACCACGCCCTTCCCGTGGCATCATCATCTTCATCATCATCTTCGCCATCGCAGCTAGTCAATGTGCCGCCTTTCACACACGTGTCTGGTAAGCTGTGACCCTTTAGTCCACTTGAATCTCGCCTTTTACGCCTTTGTCTGGTAACTGCTAAGCTTCTCTTGGTCCTTTTGCCACAACTATGCCTGTCGCATTTACTTCTCCCCCAGTCGAAGCAAAAAGACTGGGAGATAGTCGCGAAGGATTGCCGCATTTGCTTCTCTCCCAGTCCACTCCTTCACTCAGGCCGCTTCAATCGCTCAATCCTCCCGCTCACTTGTCCTTCCACGCCCCGTTTTCTCAGAGGGAGATGCCTCAATGCCTGCACTGCATCCTGACCGTTCATTGCTGCTCTGCTGGCCACCACCAGAAGAAGCAGCAGCAGCGGAGGCAGCAACAGCAGGAAGAGGAGCAGCAGCAGCAGCATCAGCAGCAGAGGGGGGATTAGCAGCAGCGGATGCATCAGAGGCAAGAGGAGCAGAAGCATCAGCACCTGGCATGTCATCATTAGCAGCTGACGCTTTACAATGCTACAGTGGTTCCACTCTCGTGTTCGTTGGAGAGTTGCCACTCCACCTCATACAAGCACACCCTGTACAGTCATGCGGTGTTTCAAAACAATCTCATTCGTCTCAATCACCTTCGTACAAGCCACAAACCGCAGGCCCACGGTTCTTCTCTCTTTTGGAAAGGGACTGGACGCTGGGTGAACACGTGGGGATTCCCAATTGGCCGGGGACACATGACTGTCTAACAATCTGGAGGAAGAAGGGGAGCCGTGCAACGGAAGGGTTCGGTGAAAGTGGCAACTGCAGTAGTGACAAGGACGGGGATTGCACTACTCTGGATGGCAACGTTGGCAGCAGGGACAGCTACGGCAGGACGACAGAAGTTGACAGCAGAGAGGAGTCTCTTTTCGCTGACCCCAACAGATCGGCATTGAGTGAAGGCCTGCGGCAGCGGTGGGAAGATACTATCGTGGGGAGGCTCTTTCTATCCCCATCAATCGCTTGCGCTGAGGTGACGAAGGATGTTGAGCTGGTTAGAGCAATGGAGGTGGAGGCAGTGAGAGGCTGGCTCCTTAGGACTGCGTGGTCGAGCCTGATCAGTGGTTTACCCTTGCTCCTCATTTCCCCGTGGTACAAGGGGCTGTTTCAAAGAAACAGAGGAGTTGTGTAAATTATAGCTTTTTAGAAAATGTGTTAATTTTAGGTTTGTTTGTGTCCTGTATTGTAGCCTGACATAGCGGATACGCACACCTGGCTCTGCACTCTGGGGAGGTGCACGAGCCTTCGCTGTCGGTGTACACATGGCAATCAATCGTGCCGCCACCTCAGGTCGCTCTTTCTCGACGGTTGAGCTGGCAACACCTTTGGTCGTTCACGAGGGATAGTCGCCCATTTCGCGACGCTTCGTCAAAATTCGTCTACTTCATCTTTGCTGTGATTCCATCGTCAGCGTCGCTCGGACTCTCAAAGCTTATGGTGTGGTCTTCTCAACTGCGCTCGACAATTCCTTTTCTCAGGCACAGCTGCAATTCACTCAGTTATTTTGCTCAACTAGGTCCTGCTGTTCTTTCACCGATACTTGCGTTGCATACAGTCACAGCTTCCCTCTCCGTTCAGCTCTCCGTTTCGCCTCTGTCGGGTTGCCGTGTGAACCCCTGATTCCATTTCTCATTGTATCAGGTCACCGAGGGACTCCTAGCCCAGCGAATCATGGCGTCAGTCACTTCAGTCGCCGCGATCACCACCGCGTCCTCTCTCACCCACAGACTGGCTGCGACCACCAAGCCATCTTCAGCCGCGCTGTCGAGTCAAACAGACCCGCACGCTGCCGTGGCGTCCCTAGTCGTTCGCATGGACTCTCAGGGCGTTCGCTTGCGCGGGAGGCTCGGCAGCTCGTTCGGGGGAGCGTCCGTGCTGGAGCGGCCGGGACTGGACCAATCAGGAGGCGCGGACGGCGCTCCGAAGACCGACGCGGGCGGCGAGATGGGGCAGCTGAAGCAGCGCATGCGGACCGGCGGGGGAGATCGGTATCGGGTTCTTCTCTTGGACCATGAAAAGCACACTGAGGATAGAGGTGAGTGGGGAGTCCTGAAGGCGACGTTTCACCCCCTTCTTGGGTCGTCCAAGAGCCGTTTCACGATGTTCTATTGGGTGTCCCGTCATCTCACACTCACTCACATCCACTCTCCCCATTGTCTCCCTCTGTGCATCAGTGGCGAAGGTGCTGCCTGCCGTGGTGCCGTCAGTGACGGTGGATGACGCGCGACGAGTGTTCAACGAGTCCAGGGAGCTGGGTCAGGGGCTCGTCTGCGTAGCTGTCAAGGTCAGCTGACTCTCTCGGTGCATTGAGCGTACTTTTCTGTGCCTGGTTCTGAAGAGATGTGGTGGGGGTAGAGAGGGGTTTGGGGAGGAACTTGTTTGAAGAAACACTTGAGCATGAACCCGACCTGACCCGACGTTGCCCTACCCGATGTCGAGTTCGGGTCGGGTCGGGTCAAGTCGAGTCGGAGTTCAGGAAATGTCAACCCGACCCGGGTTTAGTAGGTCGGGTACTACCTGACCTGATTTCGGGTCGGATCGGGTCGGGTTGGCATAGGGCCAGGGACGAGTAATAAGCCGACCCGATGGGTCGGGTTTTGTAGGTCAGGTCGGTGAGGGTCGGGTAGACCCTCTGCAAATGTTGACCCGACCCGTAAAAAAGTTGGGTTCGGGTCGGTTTACTCGACCCGACCCGACCCGACCCGTTGCTCAAGCCTCTCACATGTGTGTGACTCTTTGACTCTCTGTCCTGTGCAGGAACATGCTGAGTTCTATGCTCAACACATGGCCATGAAAGGCCTCCGATCCACCATTCAGCCTGATGGCCTTGTCATTTAGTTGGAATAATGAATTGCAGATTTTGTTCCCATGTATTGTTGGCATTGTTATAAAAACTTTCTTGGCAACTTTACTTCATCATGAGGCATCGTTTGTTAGAAATGATAAGCTAGTGAGAAAAATGATAGGTACAGTTTTACACCAAGGTACAGTGAATAATTCACTGTTTTCTTTTGGCTTGACGGGACTTTCCGTGATAAGCCAGATTTCCGAAACTCGGCTCGGCTCGTGTGCCCCGAAGCGGCAGGCCTGGGCTTCTGACACCCTCTCGTTTCGAGCCTGACATTTTCCCTCCACTTCTCACAACTCCTCACTTTGCACAGCTCGCTGGCATTCAGCCACCTCGAGTTCTCCCCGCCTGCACCCAACCAGGCTCCGCCACTGCCCTGTCAAAGCGTCCCCTTTCCCCCGAACTTCCCGAGTCGAACCAAAGTTGCGCAGGCGTTCATCCAATGCGCGCCTCACGTTTTCCGCCCTCCCACGTGCTTTTCCGCTCCCACGTGATTCATGTGGAATTCTCCGCACCCCTCCCTCCGCTCCGCACTCCTCCCTTAGCTTCCCCCAGCAACTCCCCCAAGTCTTCCCCCAATCACCTCTCGTGCTCCTCCAGATTCACATCTGCAGCTGCAGAATTCCCAAGGCCCTGTTCTCTAGTGCTGCCAGCCTGAAGCATTCTTGTTTCAGGAAGCAGAATCAGGCAGGAAAGTAGCAGTAGTGGTGTCCTTAGCTTGTTAGCCTCCATGGCGGTCTTAGGAAGGCTCGCCTGCGGGCTTGCCGTGGTCATTCTGGTGTCCGGTCTGCTTGCCGACGCAGCTGTGCACGAGTATAATGGCGGGAAGTTCTTCCAGGCGTCCGATGCTTTCCTCTTCCGAGGCGGACGCGAAGGTCTGTTCGCATCCACGCCGGAGGCAGTTCGCCGCTGGGTGGACATCCCGAGAGGAGTTGCAAACGGAAAAGCTTACATACGGTAGGCGAATCTTGATAGGCGGATGCTTAGATGCGTAGATCGATCTTCAATAGTAATCCGAATAGCTAGCGAATGTCAACTCGACCTTTATGTATTTCGTGATCTTCTTAGCGCTCACGAGGGATCACATCTTGAATGGATTCGCTCAAACTTGCCGTGAACTTTTAGTCACTATCGCTCCCGGTCGGAATTCGCTTATTCGCGTCGTCGGCGTCGTCGTGCATGCAGGTTCGACAACCTGAAGTTCCATCGACCGCTCTCCGAGGCCCAGGTGGCTCCGATCGCCGGCCAGACGGGGAGAATCGAGGCTCTGCTGTTCGAGGTGAAGGACCGAGACCGCATCGGGTATGCGTCGGCGTCCAACATCCGTGCGTTCTGCTGCTCTCCCGAGCTCGTTCAACGGACGGGATGCAATCCTGGACATATCATTGTGCGACCGAGAGACGGCGATAACCAGGTGCGATCAACCGTTCACCGAATCCGTGGGGATTGATAAGTAGATTCGCTGGTTTACCGGTGGGTCTGTGTGAGTGTAAGGCTAGATATGCTCATCTATTGCAATCTTCAGGAGCTAGGAAGGCATAAAGTTAAGCTTATGCCTGGAATGAGCGCTGGAAAGAGCTTACGCAACATCATGAAGCAACGAATTCCCAGAAGGTTTCTCACGTGTTAATGATCCGCAGTGGTTGCTTCTGTTGGAAATTAAATATGTGCCAAGGACACGTCTGTCACGGGAATATGTAGCATGTTTGGACCATACTTCGTCTCACCCTACACCCGCAGTGGCCGCGCGTGGTGGAGATCAACTTCATCGGCAACGACTCGTCAGTGGCCGTGGCTCCGTCGGAGATCCACATCACGGCGCCCGGCATGTACTACCTGTGGTTCGTCATCTGCGACAAGAACCTCGCTGGCGTGGCGGTCACGGGCACGACTGTGTGGAAGAACCCGGGAGGGTATCTGCCCGGCATGATGATGCCGTACCTCAACTTCTACGCGCTCATGTCCATTGTGAGTCTTCTCTCTCGGATCCGGAACCAGACGCAGATGGTTTCATTGGTCCTTTTCCGCATCCTTCTCTTCGGGTGATGCCGTCCTCCCTGTCGCGTCAAGCCACAAGAACCACCAATCCCCCTTTCTCCCCAACCCCACACACAAGATCCCATATGTTAGCCACTCTAGGCCTACCTGGTGCTGGGCGTCATGTGGTTGATGAAGTACGCGCGCTTCTGGCGCGACATCCTGCAGCTGTGGAACTGCTTTGACCCCCCCCACCCCTCCCTCCTCCTCCTCCCCTCCACCCAACCCCCCCACCCCGTCCCCACACATTCCCCCCCTCATCCCCGCCCTTATTTCCCCTCCTGTAGGCCTACCTGGCGCTGGGCGTGGTGTGGTTCATGCAGTACGCGCGCTTCTGGCGCGACATTCTGCAGCTGCAGAACTGCATCACGGCGGTGATCGCGCTGTCCATGCTGGAGATGGCCACGTGGTACTTCGACTACGTCAACTTCAACGCCTCGGGCTTCCGCCCCTATGGCACAACCATCTGGGCCGCCACGCTTGGCGCGCTGCGCAAGGCGGTGTCACGGGTGCTGGTGCTGATTGTGGCCATGGGGTATGGCGTGGTGCGGCCCACGCTGGGAGGGCTGTCTGGAAAGGTACGCCTCGTGGGGGGGGGAGGGAGGGGGGGGATGGAATGTGAGAGGGGTGTCATGGGTGTTGGTGCTGATCGTGGCCTTGGGGTATGGCGTGGTGTGGCCCACATTGGGGGGGCTGTCGGGGAAGGTGAGAGAGGGGGGGAAGGGACGTGAGGGGTGAGGTAGGGTCGGGGTTCGGCGTCATGCGGGCTTTACTGGGTCGGCGCAGGGGGACTGGGAGAAAAGGAAGGCGAGACCAGGTGAAAGGGAAGGTGAGAGAAGGTGAACGGGGTAAGGGAAGGGGAAAGGAGAAAGGGAAGGCGAAAGGGAAGAGTGGGATGGAAGGGAGGGTGAGAGAAGGTGATTGGGTTGAGGGAAGGGGGAAAGGAAAAGTTTTGAGGCGCCTCAAAAACCGCGTGATAGGAGTCTAGTTTTGAGGCGCCTCAAAACTAGAAGGTGATTGGGGTGAGGGAAGGGGGAAAGGAAAAGGGGAAGGCGAAAGGGAAGAGTGGGATGGAAGGGAGGGTGAGAGATGTGGACTGAGGAAAGCGTGCCTGTTAGCAAAGGAGGTCTGGTGATGGTGCTTGCTAGGTGCGGGGTCCTTCTGTGCGGTCGAGCTTTTAGCCGTGATGCAGAACGTGGGGGCCATAGACGACCTCAACAGCGTCAAGTAACATTGTTGCATCTCTCCCTGCTCGTATCGCCCTATGCCAATCCAGGTGATGGCGCTAGGCTCGGGGAACTTCTGTGTGGTCGAGCTGCTGGACATGATGGGGAACGTGGGCGCGATATGCAACCTCAACAGCTCAATCCCTTATCTCTGTCTTGTACCCATTCCCCCCACCACCTCAGGTGATGGCGCTCGGTGCAGGCTACTTCTGTGCGGTCGAGCTGCTGGACGTGATGCAGAACGTGGGCGCCATTGACGACTTGAACAGCAGCGAGCGCCTCTTCCTGGTGCTGCCAGTGGCGGTGCTGGACGCCATCTTCATCCTCTGGATCTTCTCCTCGCTCTCCAAGACGCTCTCACTGCTGCAGGTGGGTTGCTACTGGTTTATCTGTGAGGGAAGGATGCCTGGAGCAATTAGGCCTGGTTGGGTGAGTAGGCCGCCTCTTCCTGGTGCTGCCCATGGCGGCTCTCGACGCCATCTTCATGCTCTGGATTTTCTCCTCGCTCTCCAAGACGCTGTCCCTGCTGCAAGTAGGGCAATACTAGTTGTTCTAGCTCCCACCCAGGGAACTGGGAGATAGGAGAAATGAGGTGAACCGGGGGGGAGTGTGGGAATGTGGGTAGGAGGGTGGATGTTCAGGTTGGTCACACCTTGATGCTCTTTCTCGCTCCACATTCTCATGTGCTCTCATCCCCCCTTGCCCAACAGACCAAGCGCTCGGGCTTAAAGCTGGAGCTGCACCGCAAGTTGCTTTTGAGGTGCTGAAAACCATGCCTCCCATTCTCCCCGGCTCCCCTCCTCCCGCCCTCTCTTGCCCACCAGACCAAGCGCTTGGGCTCAAAGCTGGACTTCACCGAAAGTTTGCTTTGAGGCGCCTCAAAAGCATTCCCCCCATTCTCCCCTCCTCCCCTCCTCCCATCCCCCCTTGCCCAACAGACCAAGCGGTCGGGCTCAAAGCTGGAGCTGTACCGGAAGTTCACCAACGGCATGGCTCTGGCTGTGCTGGTGTCTGTTGCCTGGATCGGATACGAGGTGAGCAGAGAGGCATGCTGCGTGCTGCGCTGGTGTTTGAAGCCCATTTCAGGCTTAGAGGACGTTGAATCTGAGTAGTGCTCGAAAGTTCTCCTGGGGTCATACCCCCGGAGAAGGCAATTCACGCCCTGTGTCACCCACCTTCATTTTCTCCTGGGAATTCGCTCGCCATTAGAGCATCCCAGGTTTTTCCCTTGCCATTTACACTCGCTGACAAAATCTCCCGATTTATCGATGCTCCACTCGTTTTTATTCCAGATGTACGTGCGGCTGTCGGATCCGTACAACGAGCGGTGGGAGGCGGATTGGATCACGGGGTGCTTCTGGCACCTGCTGCAGTACGCGCTGCTCTGTGCCATCTGCGTCCTCTGGGCGCCCTCCCTCAACTCCACCAGGTAGGTCCCTCCCTCAACCCATCAGATAGATTCCCTCCCTCAACTCCACCAGGTGGGCCTTTCCCTGAGAGTACACCAGTTAGGCTTTAAGATGCATACATGCCTGATGGAGCAAGCTGCATCAGGTAGACTCCCTCCCACTACTCCGCCGGGTAAATTCAATTTCCTAACTCCACCTGGTAGCTCTCCTCCCAGTGTCGTTCCTCTCTCCCTCTTGCCGGCACCCATCCCAAGCGCCTAGTGCAGCCTCACACCTCCTGCATTCCACAGTCCATCCCAACGAAGACATGTATGTTCCGAGGATGCTCTAGACGATGACAATGATGGCGCCAAAGCCCCTGTTACTGGCAACTGTGCCGTGGCACGTGATACAGCCTTTCACCTGACCCGATCCCAAGCCCACTTTATCCAGACACGCGCACTTGAAGATGTCCAGACGGTGATGATGATGCGGCCCTTGCATCTGTGCATGTGTCCCTGCACCGGATACGGGCTCTCACTTCCTTCCGTACGACCTCTCACTGCCTTCCATTCCACGCCCACCTTATCCAGATACGCTTATTCGGAGGATGCTCCAGAGGATGATGATGACGTGGCGCTTACATCGGCTATTGTGGCTTCAGCCAAAGCGGAGGCAGGCACAGCATCGGAAAAGAGGCCGATCAATACTGATGTGTTCTCGCTAGAAGATGAGGTGGAGGAGGGGAAACTGGAGTGAAGGTGGTTACTGTTGTGTGAACACATAACGCCTCAGTGCTCGACAGATGTATGTAGGGCGGTTATGGTTTGACTACTTAGTAGTGTAGAAAGTGTATCTCATTTTTCTTTTACCCAACGATGCAAAAGCTGTTGGCTGTACTAAACAGAAGGTGTCTAACTCCAAATGGAGAATGTGGGTTTGTCCGCACAACGCGCCACTCAATACAGGGAAAAGTTTCCGCGCCTAGCATGGCGACTACAATCATCTGACAGATTCCTGAGCCTGCTCGGATTCCTAACGCCAGGATCCTCGGAGGATTTGTTAGCAGCCGTGCCGATGGCCTTATAACGCGTCTTTTCGTTGAGGAGTCGGCAGTAGCAGCTGCGTAGTACGCTCCGCCAGTGATAACTGGTACTAGATCGAGGAAGCGGAGACGCGACGCGCGTTGAGCTGCGTACTTCAGTCGTCACCGCAACCGACCATGTCGCTCCACCGTATCCTCCGCCGTTCCCCCCGCTCCCCGCATCACTGCGCGTGGCTCGCGCGCCAACTCGCATCCGCTCCCGCCTTCCCCGATGTCGCACCGCCTTCAACCATTTCCGCCGCTTCCTCCGATTCCGCTGTTTCCGCCGATTCCGCTCCCGCTTTTCCGCACAGACGATGCTCACCGATTCACGGGATTCCACGACCCCACCAGCAGCGAGCCTGTGGCTTCCAGTTGAGTGCCTTGTTGGACGTAGCTTGTTAATCGTAGCTTGTTGGACGTAGCTTGTTGGATCCGTAATCCGTGCCTTCTAGATTCCGTGTGATGCCGTAGTCTACGAGGCATGCTGTCTTACTCGGCTCAGCTAGTCCTGAAAAGGGCCAACACGTCTCATCTCGAGCTGTTGTTACGAGCGATCTCCCTGGCAATCTCAGCTGTCGTGATGAATCTTGAAGCCAATTGAAGCATTCGTGATAAGAATCAACAGTTATGCAGACCCCTTGTGTTCTCCACTCTGAATCATGCTCTCTGTTTACCCTCTGATCAGGCCGGTAGCAACCCTGTCCTCATCCGCGTTAGTGTCATCCTCGAGTGGTGCCGCCACCACTGCATTCACTATTGCGGATCCTGCTACGGTGCCAGCCACCACCAATGATGATTCCACCACCCTCTCAGGTGAATCCAAAACTTCAGGTGAATTTAAAACTTCAGGTGAATCCAAAACTTCAGGTGAATCCAAAAGTCACTGTCTTTTGTCAAAAGTACCCTTCTGTTCAGGCGCCTCAAAAAGAGTTCCCTTTGTGTTGTAGATCATTCCTTCATTCAGCAGCCAATGAATGGTCCATCCCTCCCTTCACGTGCTCGCTCTATCCAATCCCGTGCCATTCCCTCTCTGTCATTCGTCTGTCATTGCCCCACCGCACCCAACCCCTATCCTCTACCCACTTGGCTCTCTCTTCAACCCCATCCAGAGCACCTGTCCGAGGACGACCTGACCCCAGCCAAAGCCAAGGTGGTGGAGCTCCTAGACCACCACATCGTGGGGCAGGCTCAAGCTGATAGCTCTCCCCTCTCTCCTCTACTTTGTTCACCCCTGGCCCCCGTGCCCCCCCCCACCCCCCATCCAGAGCACCTGTCCGAGGACGACCTGACCCCAGCCAAGGTGGTGGAGCTCCTAGACCGCCACATCGTGGGGCAGAGCCAGGCCAAACGAGCCGTGGCCATTGCTCTACGCAACAGGTAGGGAGTTTTTGTTGTTGTTGTCGATGCCGACTGGTGTTGTAGGCACGCATACAATAACATGATAGACGCTTGCTTTAGGCCAAGTCAAGCCCCCACACACGTGCCGGCTCCTGTTCTTGAGGATTATAACGAATGACTGGCTGTAGACCAACTCCATAATCCATTATAGACCAAGTCAAGCCCCCCCACTGCACCCCTGTGCTGGCTCCTGTTCCTTTATGTTTGAGGCGCCTCAAAAATAGACTCCTGTGTGCCACGACAGGTGTCTCAAACATCTTCCTGTTTCCCCTGTGTGCGACAGGTGGCGCAGGAAGCGCATCAGTGGGCCAATGAGGGACGAGATCGTGCCCAAGAACATCCTCATGATTGGCCCCACCGGGTGCGGCAAGACGGAGATCGCCAGGCGCCTGGCGAAACTCATTGATGCTCCCTTCGTCAAGGTGTGTGGTTTGACTGACAACCCGCAGAGTGTCGATTCAGGCTCTGGGGACAGGGGTATCTAGAGAATAGAGGTCGTGTCCAGGAACATTCCCATGATCGGCCCCACCAGGTGCGGCCAGATGGAGACCGCCAGGCTGTTGGCCAAGCGGATTAAGTCCCCGTTAAGTCACGGTACCGCTGCCTGTGTTAGTGACTAATCAATCTGTGATTTGGTCAAATTGGTGTGTGACTGTATCCATGGGGGTCTGTACGTGCCTGGCTTTGCGTCGCTTTGCATTCCATCGCTTTGCTTCTGCTCTACTTTGCTCTGCTTTGGTCTGCGCTTTGCTCCCAAACAGGTGGAGGCCACAAGTTCACGGAGGTGGGCTTCCACGGCTCGGCCGAGGGACTCTATCAATGTGTTTCTTAATCTGTGTGACTGTATCTGTGTGTGACTATACGTGCATGCCTATGCCTCTCATGACAGGTGGAAGCCACCAAGTTCACAGAGGTGGGCTTCCACGGCCGGGACGTGGATCAGATCATCCGAGACCTGCTGGAAAACGCCATCCACCTGCAGAGGCAGAAGGTGCGTGGGTCTTCGTCGAACATTGCTCATCACCAAGAATTCTTCTCAGATTTCTTCACCTGCTAAAGAATGTCGTCCGTTCACCCAAATTCCTCTCATGCAGGTATCTTTTCCGCTTTGAGCTGCTGGAGCCACCTCTAGCACGACTTTCGCTCACTAACAATCGTATCCTGCCCATTTAGTGGCCCACCACTCCTCCTTGTACTCCCTTCACCGTGCCCGTGCCAAGGCGGCCCAGGAGGTGGAGGAGGTGGTGGAGGTGGTGGAGGTGGTGGAGAACAAGATCCCATATCGGCACATCAAACGACCTCGCTTTCCTGGCACATCAAACGAGGCAAGGGAGAGTGGTTCCACATTGCCCACCACTCTCCCTTGCCTCCCTGCCAAGGCGGCCCAAGAGGTGGAGGAGGTGGTGGAGGTGGTGGAGAACAAGATCCTTGTCTTTCTGGAACAGCCCTGTCCACCCACCACCCACCACCACCCACCACCACCCACCACCCACCCACCACCCACCCACCACCCTCACCCGATATCTCCCTACCAGGCGCGTGCCAAGGCGGCCCAAGAGGTGGAGGAGGTGGTGGAGGTGGTGGAGAACAAGATCCTTGTCTTTCTGGAACAGCCCTGTCCACCCACCACCCACCACCACCCACCACCACCCACCACCCACCCACCACCCACCCACCACCCTCACCCGATATCTCCCTACCAGGCGCGTGCCAAGGCGGCCCAAGAGGTGGAGGAGGTGGTGGAGAACAAGATCCTGGACCATTTGCTGGGGACGCTGCAGCCAGGCACGGTGAGTCCACCCTCCCACCAGTCAAGCCATTTAATCCATCACTCAAATTAGTCAACCCCACAGTCAAGCCGTTTAACCCATCATTCAAATTAGTCAGCCGACCAGTCAAGCTAGTCAATGCAGTCAGTGTGCGGCCGAGGAGGTGGAGGAGGCGGTGGAGAGTCAATGCAGTGAGGATCCTGGACCATCTGCGGTGGGCGCTGCAGCCAGGCACGGTGTGTGAAGCAGGTCGATGCAGTGAAGCTAGTCAACTCGTAAGTCAACGCAGTCAACTCAGGCAAGAAGGTGGGGGAGGTGGTAAAGAGCAAGGTTATTGATACTGTTAAGAGCCTCTGCACAAGTGGGTTGGATTGGATGAATGCACCCAACCCACTTCTGCTGCTGCGCGTGCTGCTCGTGCTGCTTGTGCCTTACAGACCCCTTCCCCCGTTTCTTTCCTCCCCAGGCGTCCCCCCCTCAGCGGGAGACCTTCCGCCTGCTCTACAGGGAGGGCGTGCTGGACGAGAGGCGCGTGCACATGGAGGTGCCTGACGTCGCCGCCTCTGGCGGTCTCGGCGGCATTTCCATCGACATGTCGGGCGCAGCGGGGCTCAACGTGCAGGATTTCGTTCAGCGGGTGGGTTTTTTTATGCTGAACGCGCAGGACGTGTCTGCAGTGCAGTGCAGTGCAGCTCACTGTGCGCATGCGGGTGCCTGGCCTCTCACCCTCTTGTTCCACTGCTGGCTTTGCCGTTCACATTTCGGGTGCAGCGGGGCTCAACGTGCAGGATTTCGTTCAGCAGGTGGGTTGGTGCGAGGTGCATTCCTCGCGGGGACTGAAGCTGAATGGGGCTCAGACCTCTGTGCACAGCTCAATCCAAGAACACTTCAGACTTCTAACCTCCACCCACCCACCGACTCACCTCCTCCCCCACCCCCCTCCTCCTCCCACCGCTTTGTGTGTTGGATGGAGCGGGTGGTGAAGGACGCGCGCAGGGCGAAGAAGGACCTGACTCATAGCACTACACCCCCAACACCCCCACACCACCCCACACCACCCCACCCCACTCCTCCCCGATGGACAGTGACCAATTTGCACCTCACCTCCCCCCTCTTCCTTCCCCTCCCCCCCCCTTGCGGCTTCAGATGGAGCGAGTGGTGAAGGGCGCGCGCAGAGAGAAGAAGGACCTGACAGTGGCCGAGGCGAGAGCAGCGCTGACCGAAGCAGAGATGGAGAAGCGGATGTCGTCCGACACGCTGGTCAAAGACGCTATTCAGGTGAGGGAGGAGGGTGCATGGTCTGGACTGTGAGGGGAGGGTGCACGCAGGGAGAAGAACGAGCTAGCAGGGGGCGGAGGGAAGGGCGAGAGCAGTGTTGAATGAAGCAGAGATGGAGAAAGGACTGTTGTCAGACACGCTGGTGAAAAACGCCATGCAGGTGAGGGAAACGAGAGTGGCGAAAAACGCCATGCAGGTGAGGGAAACGAGAGTGGCGAAAAACGCCATACAGCTCCCAGATTGAACGAGTGGATCGCATCCCTCACCAAGCGGACCGACGCCCTCCATCTGGATTGACAACATCACAGCTCCCCCCATGCCCTTCCCCCGTCACCTTCCCAGTTGATGGAGTCTGAGGGCATAGTCTTCCGAGTCGAGATTGAATCGATAATAGCTCCCATGCCCTTTCCCCGATTCCTCCCTTTCTGCCCTTTCTCCCACCGCCCAACCCCCACCTCCCAGTTAACGGAGTCGGAGGGCATAGTGTTCGTAGACGAGATCGACAAGATCGTTCACCCCCCTTCCTTCATGTTTCTTTCCCTGCACTAACCCCCCCCCCCCCCCAATCTCCCAGTTAACGGAGTCGGAGGGCATAGTGTTCATAGACGAGATCGACAAGATCGTGCATTCCAGTGACACGCGGCACGGCGCCGATGCCAGCGCCGAGGGCGTGCAGCGTGACTTGCTGCCCATCATCGAGGGCAGGTGAGAATCTTACTCATTAGTAGTGGAAGGAAGAGCAGGAGGGGCGTGTGGCCTATTGCTAAGGGGGTACGGGCTGTGCGGCACGAGGGGCATGCAGGGTGCGTTTCAGTGACTCGCAGCATGGCGTTGACGCCATGTCAACGCAGCAGGTACGGCACACCATCCTTAGCGGCTCTCAGCAGCCATGTCTTTCAGCGGCTCTCCTTGCTGGCTTCTATCCCAACTCCTTAGCTGGTTTCACTTGCCTTCGCTTGTACGTGATTCACTCCGACTTTCCTTGGTCTTCATAAGCGCTCCGAGATTGGACAGGCAACACTTCCAAGTCTCGCTACCCTCTGTCTGGCCTCTCCTTAGGGGTCTAGCATACAAGCCTGTTCAGCCTGTTTCCCCCCCCCCCCCTTCCACCCTCCCTGCCAGTGTGGTGACCACCAAGCATGGCAACGTCAACACGGACCACATCCTCTTCATCGCCAGCGGTGCCTTCACCGCCTGCCGCCCCTCTGACATGCTGGCGGAGCTGCAGGGGCGCCTGCCCATTCGGGTGGAGCTCAAGGGGTTGACCAGAGAGGTGAGGGTACCGGGGTGTCTTGGGCAGTATGGCTCAGTGGAGGTTAAAGGGCTGCCTGCCGCCCCTCTGACAGGCTGGCTGGGCTGCAGGGGCGATTGCCCATCCGGGTGGGGCTCATGGGATTGAGCAGAGAGGTGAGGTGAGGTGAGGTGAGGTGAGGGTGTAGGACGTCTGTTCGGAGATGGAGGAGGAGCGGCTCAAGCTGCCTCTACTGCCTGCCGCCCCTCCAACATGCTGGCTGAGCTGCAGGGGCGATTGCCCATCTGTTTGGAGCTCTTAAGGGCTATCAGAGGTGAGCGGCTAGGTCTTGGGAGGGACCCGGGAGAAAAGGGCCATCTGCAGCCCTTTTTCTTCCAACAGAAGGGCCGTCTGTAGAAAGGGCCTTCCTATATAGCTGAGAAGGGACACGAAGGAATGGTTGGTTCACTGCTCCCTGCTCCCCCCGTCAGCTGACGAGAATCCCCCTCCTGATGGAGCTCGGAGCAGGGTATTCTTGTGAGCTGAGCTGACGAGAAGACTGCTCCGCGTCTTTATGGCTGGTTTAGACTCCTGCCTCCTCCTGCCTCCTCCTGCCTCCTCCTGCCTCCTCCTGCCTCCTCCTGCCTCCTCCTGCCTCCTCCTGCCTCCTCCTTCCTCCTCCTGCCTCCTCCTGCTGATGGACTGTTCTTCCCCAACTTTTGAGGGCCTCAAAAGTAGACTCCTGCCTCCTCCTGCCTCCTTCTGCCGATGGACTGTTCTTCCCCAACCCATCTCTTCGACTATCCGTAGCCATAAACGTTAGGATGAGTTGACTCAAAAACCAACCCATCTCTTCTACTGTTTGCAGGGTATTTTTGAGAATTCTAAAAAATACCCTGCAGAGTCGACTAAAAAACCAACCCATCTCTTCTACTATGTAATGAGTCCTTTTTTTAGTCGCACCTGTACCGCGTTGTCACAGAGCCGGAGGCGAACACGAGTCAACAGCACGGCAGCAGCAGGTGCGGATGGGGGTATTCCCACCAGGTACCCCCACGCCTACTCTGCTAACTCCCGCCACCAGGGCCTGTGTCGCGTTCTGACGGAGCCTGAGACCAACATGTCTCGGCTGCAGCAGCTGCTCACGGCCACAGGTGGTTCCATTCCCAGCTACTATGTGTTTCCCCCGCCCCCCCCCCCTTCCTCGCCCTTCACTGCCCGCCACCAGGGCCTGTATTGTATTCTGACGGAGCCGGAGACCAACATGACTTGGCAGCAGCAGCAGCTGTTGGGGTGCTCCTTCCCACCCCATCTCTCTCCCCCCCCCTCCCCCCTTCCGCCTCCTTTCACCCACCAGGACCTGTATCGTATTCTGACGGAGCCTGAGACAAACATGATTCGGCAGCAGCAGCTGCTCATGGCCACAGAGGGCATTGACCTCGTGTTCACAGACGAAGCTATCCGGGAGGCTGCTGCCATGGCTGCTGAGGTGAGCAGCAGTGGTGGTGACCTGGGTGGTGGGTGGTTGGCTTTGGGTGGTACACTTGGCTGCGTGTTGTTAAGGTGCCTCGGCCGCATGGCCATGGAGGGCATTGACCTCGTGTTCACTGACGACTATCAGGGAGGCCGCTGGCATGGCTGCTGAGGTATGGCGGTGGTGATGAGGTATGCTGGTGGTGATGGGGCATGCTGCTGGTGATGAGGCATGCTGGCGGTGATGAGGCACAGTTGTGGTGTTGTGTGGTTTTCGGCTGGTGAGGTACTGTTGACTTGGCCTCATGGCAACGGAGGGCACTGACCTTTTGTCCGCCTCTGGGACCTTTGGCTTTTAGCAGCTGTGCTGTTGTGTTTTTTCAAGCCATTGTTAGTCTGACCTGACCTCACCTCACCTCCTAATTCAACTCTTCCCTTGTGTCTGACTACCTCCATCCATGGGTCCAGCCTCCAGTGTTCTCTGTTTGCAACCCTCCATCCTCTTCCCAACTCCTTTCCTTCCCCCCCCCCCCCCTTCCCCCAGCTCTTGTGCCAGATCAACCACACATTGACTTTTGAGTCGACTAAAAGTCATCTACTGACTCCCTCCCCATCCCCCTCCTGCCTCTCTTGTGGCAGATCAACCACACACTGGACAACATCGGAGCCAGAAGATTGCACACGGTGAGAGGCAGGGTGGAGGGAAAGGGAAAGGGTGGGGGAGGAGAGGGATTGTTGCACATGATGAGGCTCAGAGGAGCAATAGAAAAGAGGTTTGGGAGGGAGTGGGGAGAAGGGAAGGGCTGGGCTGGGGTCTTGAAACGTGTTGAGCCATGTGGAACCCCGTGTTCATCTCATCCGTGCCGTGCACTGTAGCATGCGCTGGAGCAAGTGGTTGAGGAGTCTATTTTTGAGGCGCCTCAAAAATAGACTACTCACGCATGTTGAACCCCGTGTCCATCTCGTCCATCTCATCCGTGCCGTGCACTGTAGCATGCGCTGGAGCAAGTGGTTGAGGACATCAGCTTGCACCCTCCTGAGAAGAAGGGATGAAATCCGTGAACCTCCCATGCTCCCATGCCCTCGTATCTTCTTGTATCCCCTCGTATCCCCTCGTATCCCCTCGTATCCCCTCGTATCCCCTCGTATCCCCTCGTATCCCCTCGTATCCCCTCGTATCCCCTCGTATCCCCTCGTATCCCCTCGTATCCCCTCGTTTCCCCTCGTTTCCCCTCGTACCCCCTCGTATCCCCTTGTATCCCATTGGATACCCTCCCATCCCCTTTCATCCCCTTGCACCGTGGCAGGTGTTGGAGCGGGTGGTTGAGGACATCAGCTTCCATGCGCCTGAGAAGAGGGGGGAGAAGTGCGTCATAGACCAGGAGGTACGTGCTGCGGACCGGGGAATGTGTTGCATAACGTAATATGCGTTGTAGGGTTAGGCAATAATTGTAGGCACTGCTGCCGATGCTTAGTCTTTTCAAAAAGCCACCCCACCTTCACCTTCTTCCTTCCCTCTTTCCCCTCTCCCCACCACCCCCCCGGGCCCCCCTTCCCCCCCATCTTCCTCCCCAACCCACCCTCGCCTTTTTTTCTGCCAGGATGTTCGGCGGCCACTGGGAGATCTGCTGGAGAAGGTTGATGTGTCCAAGTTCATCCTGTAGTCTGGTAACCCAGGCTGGATTTGTAACAGTATAATATAAATGCATCACTGTGTTCGTATGCCAACATTCAATTCCGCGACTTTGTTTGGTAAAAAAGCAACACTTTCTTCCAAGTGCACTCATTTCTCAGTGTCTACCGGCCTCTCTCATTCTCAGCCTCAAACCCGGGCCAGAGAAGGATCATGTAGAGGCTTGTGTTGTGTACACATCCTGCTGCATTTATTACCAGATCATTTGAACAGTAGGACCTACAGCAGGGCCTATAGCAAACACTACTAAACGATAACAGAGGCCGGGCAGCCTACGGAGTTAGCACGGAAGATACAAAGGTCAGACAAGACAATACCGTAAGTCTCACAGGAGGTGAGCAGGTAGTCACTCGCAGCCAAGCAGAACAGAACAGTACCGCTGCTGGAGTGCCTGATTCTCGCATCCCTAACCTTTTACCAACCCATGCCATGTTCTCTCCTCCCTTCTCCCATCCCTCCCACCCCTCTGCTCCTCGTCTCTCCCCCTCCCCTCCCTTCCTTCACTTCCGCTTGGCCTGTTTTGGCCCCTTGTGTTGCGCTGCTGCCACCGCGGGGTTGCCGTGCCAGTTGCGCTTGCGCTGGTTGATGAACCAGTTGTTCACTTGCTTCAGTTCCAGGCCTGTTTGCGCCATGAGGCCTGCTTTTTCCTCCTCCTGCACAACGCACAAGCACACGCACACGCACACATAAACACATGCATGCCGCACACATGAGATGGTGAGCCAGTTGTCCACCTGCTTCAGCTGCAGGCCCGTCTGCTGCATGAGGCCCCCCTTCTCCTGCTGCTGCACATGGAACGAATGCACGCACATGGGCACGCATGGGTACATGTGAACACACATAAGTTGCGCTTGCGCTGGTTGATGAACCACTTGTTCACGTTCTTCAGCTCCAGACCAATTTGCGCCATGAGGCCTGCTTCTTACTCCTCCTGCATATGTGCAGCACAGGCATGGCGAATGGGCTTCAGAAGGCTAACTACAGCTGAAAGCCACATAGCGATGCTTAGCTGGCACGTTGACAGGAAGTGCCACGGCATGCCGACGTGAAGTGCCATGGCATGCTGACGCAAGGTGCCAGGGCATGCTGACGTGAGGGGACAGCGCATGCAGGCAGACGGGCTGTGAACCAAGCGAGAAAGATGGATGGACGTAGTGACTTTCGGCTCAAAAGATTGTTGGACGTACACCCAAGTATTCGTTTAAATCGTTGGTTTAGTTTGGGCCGGCAGCGATTGTTTGATCTGCGTGGTGACTGTAACGCTATACAGTCGCTTGCCTGAGATACCCACGTTCGACGGGACTCACTCTCTGTGCGACATTACAAACCTGGCCCAAACTTGGGGTAGTTGGAACCAAACATGCGACTCTAATATGTGCTATTTAAACGAATACTTGGGTGTAGTGACTTTTGAGTCGACTCAAAAGATGGAAATGTGACATTTGAGTCGACTCAAAAGATGGATGGACATACCGTGGGGTAGGGCCACTGGATGTGCTCGTGCCACCACGCCTTGAGCACCTGGGTGGTGTTTCCTGGCAGCTTCCCAGCCCGTCTCTTGCGCATGATCTCCTCCCTCACCCCCAGGATGCGCGCCCGGAAGCCCTGAGAGATGGCAGGATGGCCAGAGGGGGATAATTCAGACGACTAGTTCTGAGGCACCCCAGAAATAGATCTCCCTAGATCTCCGCCCTCACTCCCAGGATGCGTGCTCGAAAGCCCGGAGGGATGGGAGGATGGCGGAATGGCAGAGGCACGAAATGGAGAGGAAGAAGGAATGGAGTCGATGTATTTTGAGTCGACTCAAAATGGATTGTAGGGCGTTGCGAGGATGTCCATGGCGGACCATTTAGTAGAGGGGCGGAGGACAAGAGATACCTCTGGACACTGCCCACACAACCTGTTTTTGAGTCGGCTAAAAACATACTTAGAAAAGCCCTTAGGACACCTCTGTGTGGACAAGAGATACCTCTGGAAGCTGCCTGCCCACACACACAGCCCTACCAAATGACTTTTGAGTCGACTCAAAAGTCTGCTCACACAGCCCTACCAAATGGAATCCATAGAAGCATCTTACCTCAGGAAACTGCCTAGCTTTGAGGTGCCTCAAAACGAGAAACCTTCAGACACCGCCCAGACAGCCCAATCGACGAGAATTTATGAAACCAGCGTACCTCTCTGCCGTAACCCTCTACCAGGAGAGAATGGGGGAGCCAGCGTACCTCTCTGCCGTATTCCTTGAGCAGAGCCTCTTCCACCGCGCTCCTGTCATGTGCCCCCGCCATCCCCATGCCCATGCCCATGCTTCCATTCATGTCCATGCCCATATCCACCCCCATGCCCATGCTGCCATGTGTCCCCATGCTGCCATGTGTCCCCATGCTGCCATGTGTACCAGCGCCGTTCATTGCCCCAAACACCATGGGGGGTGCACCCATGGGTGCACTCCCGCCCATCCCCATGCCAGGGTGAGACGTGGGCAGCTGATGCCAAGGGGAAGGGGCGGGTGGAGGGCGGTGGGGGAGGAGAGTGAGAGGCTGGTTGGGCGCATGCATGGAGTGGCTCTGTTGCTGCTGCTGCTGCTGCTGCTGCTGGTGTGTGTATTGACATCCCAAGGAACCGGACATGCTTGTGCATCCACCACTGTAGCCACCACCACCACCACCACCAGCAGGAGCAGCAGGAGCAAAGGTGTTGAAACCACTGCTCGACCCATGGCCGTTGGCGCTTGATGGAAAAGGCACAAGCCCGTGCCTATGGCTGTTGTTGTTGTAACCATGGTCATGCCCATTCCTATGGTTGTGCCCATTGCTATGGTTGTGCCCATTCCTATGGTTGTGCCCATTGCTATGGTTGTGCCCATCGTTATGGGCTGTATGACCAAGGCTGCTGAGCTGATCCCCTCCCCCTCCCCCTCCCCCTCCCCCGCCCCCTCCCCCGCCCCCTCCCCCTCCCCCACCCCCTCCGCCCTCGTCATCTGACATGGTAGCGCCAGAAGCAGCAAGCTTGTCAGCAGAGCCCCCCGCAGCAGCAACGGCTTGCTTGAGCCGCGCGCACGTGGTGACCGCCTCCCTGGCGTGCACGCGGATGTGCTCCTCCAACTGATCCTTGAACGCTCGAAGGAGCTTCACAAATTGGCCCTGGAGCGGCAGGAGGGCAAGGGGAGAGTGATAAGGTGGAGATGTGAGGAGCTGCATTAAGGGTAACCGCCTCTCTTGCATGCACGCGGATGTGCTCCTCCAATTGGTCCTTGAAGGCTTGCAGCAGCTTCGCGAATTGGCCCTGGAGAGAGAGAGAGGGGATTGAAGAGAAACAAGGTTGGATGGAGCATAATTGGAAGAACAAATGATCAAGCACAGCTTCGACCACCCAATCTAAGACTAGACTGAACACTTAGTTAAGCACTGCTGAGGTGAGCCTCCCTGCTGTCGGGCTCACCATGAAATTGTCCAGCTCAGCCTCTTCTGTTTCAGACGCCAGTCCTTTCCTGCCACATGGCGCATTCCCATTGGCCACAGCACCTGCTGCGGAAGAAGCAGGGGCAGCAGCAGCAGCAGCCTTATCACCAGCCAGAACTGCTCCTCCTCCTGCAGAGGTAGCAGGAGAGGCGCTAGGACGGGTGGTAGGAGCGGCGCCGTTTGCAGCAGCGCTTGCACCAAGAGGGTCAGCCACAGGGGCACTACCAGGAGCGTTGGCTGCGGCTTGGGGGGAGTTGGAGTTAGCATGGAGCATGCGGGTGTAAGTGGAGGAGACGAGGTCAGCTCGCTCCATCTGCACTTGAATCAGCGGCAGCTGGTCCAGGGGCGTGGCCACCTGGTAGGGGCGCAAGGGAGAGGGAACAAGGGAGCAAGGAGGCAAACGGGTGCAGACAGTCAGGGTTAGGCAAGGGTACTGTAAAGTCAACTCAAGAGGTCAGCTCGCTCCATCTGTGCCAGAATCAGTGGCAGCTGGTCCAGGGGCATGGCCACCTGGTAGGGAAAGCAGGGGTGAGAGGGAAGGAAGAGGCGGCCTTCAGCCAACTCAGGAGGTCAGCTCGCTCCATGTGCACCTGAATCAGCGGCAGCTGGTCCAATGGCGTCGATACCTGGTAGGGGAGCAAGGGGTGAAAAACAAAGTTGATGGTGATGCAAGAGTGGCAGAAGAGGCCTTAAGAAGGAGGATCGAAGCCAAGGTGTGGGTGCTGTGCTGCTGTGTAAGGAGAGCAAAACGGTCACCTCAAGGCAGGCCACGTGGGCGCTGAGCATCTGCTTATATAGAGGATGAGACGCAATGAGCCCCTTCCACCTCGCCTTGCTCCTCTCCCTCTCCTCTTTGCCCCTCTGCGTCGCCACTTTCCCTTCCAGCTGCTGCTGTCCTGCACTTGGCGCAGCAGCATCAGCAGCATTGGCGCGCACTCTAGTAGCAGCAGCAGCAGCAGCTGCTGCGGCGTTACTTGCTCCGCTTCCAGACACTTGCTGCCAGTGCGGGAAAAAGTGCTGCTGCTGCTGCATGTGCTGTGTCTGGTTACGGCAGAGCACAGCAGATTCATGCACATTCACGGGGCTTCCACCACGTCCGTTCACTAGAGCCAAGCCAGCCTTTGCTGCACCGCTGCCTGCAGCCGGCTCTGCACCCTGGCCATCCACATGCTTGCCGCCCAAATCTTCCTTGCTGGACAAATCCTTGCCGCCCATATCTTCGCAGCTGAAAGCCTTGCCGCCCATCTCCCTGTTCATATCACCAACACGCAGGCCGTTGTGCCTTTCCTCCTTCGCATCCATCACGGATGCCACTGCTTCCATCACGGAAGAAGGTACCTTGGCACCTGTGGCCACTGCTTCAGTCCCTGCCACGCCTGTTGCTTTCACCTCTGCTCCTGCTGCTACTGTTGCTTCTGTTGCTGCTCCTGCGGCTATGGCTCCTGGAACCAATGGTGCTGCCGCTGCTGGAGCTGCTGCTGCTGCCGCCGGTGCTACTGGTGCTGCTGGTGCTGCCGGCCCTGCTGCTGTTGGCATTCCGCCCTTATCGTTGGCAGCCAAGCCGCCTCTATCGCAGGTCGCTGTACCTCCCACTCTCCGAGCCACGCCAGCTATGCCACCAGCATCCCCCCCCTCACACTCCATCCCCTCCTCCGCACCGACCATCCTCACCTCTCCCCCCAACCTGAACGGCCCCTGCCCCACCTCCCCACCTGTTGCCGGGGGCGGCAGGCTCAGGCTCGGCATCTGGTCCAGGTTCGGTGCAGGCTGGCTCGGCATGGAGAGGCTCGGGGAGAGGTCAAGAGGCAGGACGCAGGGCGAGGAGTTACTCTGTAACATGGCAGTGTTACTTTGTAACATGGTGTTATTTTGTAACATGGCAGCGTCTAATTCGGGCATGGAGAAGAAATGGGCGAGCTCGTGGTTCAGGAGAGCGGTGGGGGGGGAGGTGAGGTGGAGATGGGAGAGGGGGGAGGAGCGATGGAGAGGGGAAGGAGGGGAGAGAGGGGAGGGGCGGTGGGGAGGGGAGGAGTGGTGGTGGAGTGAGGGATGGTGGTGCAGTGGGGAGGGAGGGGAGAGAGGGGAATGGAGAGATGCTGGAGGGGATTTGAGAAAAGGCGCGATATGAGGCTGCTGCAATGCGTGGTTTGGATGATGGATGTGACTATATGGAGTGGTGTGACTTAATGGAGCACTGTGATTCAGAGGAGGGGTCTGACGCCAAGGAGGAGAGGAGTGATTCAAAAGCGGGGATGTATGGTTCAAACGAAGGAGGTGATTAGAGGAGTGAGTTGGCTGATTCGCTACTTGTGCTGACTGCTGCTGCTGCTGCTGCTGCTGCTGATGCAGCTGATAGTCGTGGGACTCCCGTGGGCGGCCTGCCTTGTCGTCTTGTGTGGGCCTGGGGGTGAGGAAGCCTCGGGAGAGAGTGATGGGGATGGCAAGGGGGCTGGGAGGGGGAGGAGCAGGGCGAGGGGGCAGGGCAGGCAGGACTGACGACGTTGCTGCAAAGGGGGTGTGGGGAGGAGGAGGAGGAGGAGGAAGAGGACGAAGAGGAGGAGGAAGAGGAGGAGGGGGAAGGGAGGCAGCAGCAGCAGGAGGAGAGGAATCTGGGGCAGGAGAAGGGCTTTGGGGCATGGCGGCAGGGGCCACAGCTGCTGCAGAAGCAGCAGCACCAGCAGCAGCAGCAGCAGCAGGAGCAGCAGCAGCAGCAGGAGCAGCAGCAGCAGCAGGAGCAGCAGCAGGCGCAGAAGAAGGTGTGGCATGCGGAGGAGGATCGGATGGAGCAGCAGGAGTGGGAGTTGAAGCAGCAGGTCGTGAGAGAGGAGGAAGAGCAGCGCACACGGAAGCTGGTGCTGAGCCAGCGGCATTAGCACCAGTGGTAGCACCAGCAGTAGCAGCACCAGCAGCAGCAGCACCAGTAGCAGCAGCAGCACCACCACCAAGTGGGGCGGGAGTGAGAGGCCGCTTCGGTGGCAGCCCGTGTTTTCGAGATGCGGATTCGGGCGAGGAGCTGGTCTTGGGAGCTAGAAGAGGCTGCAACTGGCGCTGGAGCTCCTCACAGGTCACCACTCGCGTGCCTGCTGATGCCGGTGGTGATAGTGGTGATTGGGCCGCCACATGCAAGCTTGAAGGGGTTGACGGCTGTGGCGCAGGGGATGCTGCTGCCGACACTGCTATTGCTGCTGCGATGCATGCGGTTGTTGTTCCAATCGCTGCTGCCTTTCCTGCAGGTGCTGCTGCTGCCTGTGCTCCTGCATTCACCTTGTCAGGACGCTCTTTCCCTGCACCTCCACCACTCACTTTTCCCTCCCACGCATCTTTACCACCCGCTTCCCCCTCCCCTGCTTCTCCTTCCTCCATGCACTCGCCGTTCCCATGGGCTGGAGATTCGCTCTGCTGGTAACTGTTACGGCGCGACAGATCATCCTCACCATGCGTCCCCCTCTCGTTCTCCTGGCAACGGCCCAGCATGCCAGCCAATAACACCGGCTCCACCCCTTGCCGACTCATCGCGCCACCCATTTTGAAGCCGCTGTTGTCACTGCTGCTGCTGGACGCCCGGGTTCCACCTTTCACCTCCCTCCCCAGCTCCGGTGTACTGGCTACTGCTTCCATCAACCCTCCAACCTCCTCCCCTCTTCCTTCCATCCCCTCGCCTCCTCCCCCATCTCCTCTCACCTCCCCCACGTGCATCGCCTCAGCACCGCCCCCCTTATACACATCCTCATTACCGCGTCTGCCGCTGATTGTGAGCTTGCCAGCAGGCTCAGGCTCGGGTGCAGAGTCCTCCTCCATGGGCACCACCACCCCGTGCACCTCTTTCTTCGCATTCTCCGTCTCAGTATCATTGCTCTCGTTCTTTGCATCACAAAGCAGCCCTCCACTCTGACCAGTCTCGTCATGCGGTTCATGCTTATCACTCTTCTCCTTCGTCTCATTCTCAGTAGGCAAACGCCCTCCCTCCCAGCTGCAGCAGCTCTCCCAGCAACCATCGCCATGGCTTCCTTTCTCCCATGCCATGTCCCCCCCCTGCTCTCCGCCCTTGGCTGCCGTACGCAGTCCTTTAGAGCCTGAATTCACCTCTACCGCTTTCACCTCTTTTTCTAGGCCCAAGTGGCCATTTCCAGTGGAAATAAAGCTTCCTAGCTTCGCGCTGTCAGCGGCTGTCGCCATGCCTGTAAGGCTGCCGCTCACTCCACCACTCATGCCATCACCAGACTCACACATTCACTGGAAGACGGCTTGTCTTACAGGTTCACCTGCCGCTCCTGTGATAGTCGGAGCAAGGATGGTGTAGTAACCTTCCTTCCTCCGCGCCAGGCCCTCCCCCAGACCAGACACAGAGGAGCCTTGTGCTGAAGACGGCCTGTCTTACACCACCACCTGCCTTGCCGCGCGCCCTCACTCTCACCTGTCACGATCCGCCTTCAGAAGGCAGGGACGGAGCGGCAGCTTCAGGTCGTTCTCAGAGCGAGTAGCAGCGGCACAGAGGCAAACAGCTCGAGGTCCAGTCTCCAAGAATGGCTGGCAGCCCTGACAGCTTCCAAGTCGTTTTCAACCTCCTTTTCAAGTCGTTTTCCGAAGTCGTTTTCAAGAGTCGTTTTCCAAGACCAAGAGCGCGATAGCTTGAAAGCAGCAGCCCAGCTCGGTTTAGGTGCAGACTCGAGCAAACTAGTGCTGAGCTTCCCGAGCACCGGGCATGCCAAGACAGGGGAGGGGGAAGGTTTCGGAATGACACCTGAATCCCGAATTCCGAGCCCGGAGTCCGGGCACTCGGACCGAGTCGCGGGGCTGACAGCGACGGACCCAGGCGGACCAAGACTGTGACATTCGGGATGGGAAGGGGGTGAAATTCCGCAACAGCACCGGCTGGGGGGAATTCCGCGTGACTCGTCTTCCGCCTTTCGCCACTAAACCTCCCCACTTCCCCCGTCCGGCTTTCGCTTTCCGACACAACAAACGTGAGGCGGACGCAATGAGACACCCAAATCGCTGTTGGCGGAGCCAACCCCCCCCTCCCCCCCCCCCCCCCCTCAAACCCCCACCCCCCACCCCTAAAAGTGATTCCCCGCTTGAGGTAAACATCTCCGCTGCGGTCCGAATCTCCGCTTCAAGAGGAGTCCCTGCTTCAGGAAGGATCCCCGCCACAACGGAACCGAATCTCCCCTAGCTATCCGCGTTCCGCCCTTACGCAAACCAGTCGACTCAGCATCAAGTGGCTCCGAGCGGTCCGCGTCAGGAGCGGTCACACGTGCGCTAACGCCGCTTTGGCGCTGACTCGTACCCAGTTGCTGACTTCGCGATTGTTCCGGCGAGCGGATTCGCGGAAAAAGTCCAGCGCAAACCGGACTGCGCGAGGGCAGCGCATACCCGACAGCCCACAGGTCGCGATTTTCCAACGCACAGGTGACTGCGCTAAGGGGTTGCTTCACCGTCGTCGCTTACGGAAAGCGGTCCACCGACACGGTGTGGGGTCAACATCACTGCGAAGGCAGGGACGCAGAAACGCTGCAGAGTCAGCATCGCACAGCCAGCGATGCACATCGCTTCCTGATGTGACGTAACAATTGGAGACCTGTCTTAGCAGGTGTAGGGGAAGTTGCTGTGTTAATTCCGCGATGCAATCTCCCGCCAATCAGGGACGAGCGTCGGGAAATTTCCAGAGGATGCTCTTGCGCGCTCCGGATCGTCCATCCAGCCAAATGTTCCAGACGCGGCGCACGAGTAAGGGAGAAGCATTGTCATTGGTTGAAGAATCTGTCTCTAAGCGGTGCGGTTTAGTGGGTGACGCTCGCGGAGCTCCCGAGGACGACTGGGAGAATACCGATTCCATTTTGCCAGATGGACGGTTCAGATCTTGCAGCGGAAATGCCGCGGTCCGTATGAACCCCGCTTTCTTGGCCTGTCTTAGGTTGATGAGATGGAATGTCGGTTCTAGGAGCTGTCAGAGGACGAGCCGCGAGGGACGGGAGCTCCTCCCATGGCCGAACGACATTCCCAAGGCCCAGAGGAATCTGGCCTTGCCAATGTCCTGTCCGTCAACACAAGCCTCTGGGGAGCTGCTGGGCTGGAGCCATCTGAGTTTGTGACCCATGATGGACATGACAGGTGGTTGGGGGGGAGGGTGATAAATCCCTGGGGATTCCCACGGGCCGATTTTTGGGTTGTGTAGCAACCCCTTACAAACGTTCTGACATTTCGGGGTCCTCAATGTACTGTTAGCAACTACTAACAATTTTAGGAGGTATCGATAAAGAATATAGTTGCAATATTTTTTGGGCAAGAACATTTTTAGCTGGTCCATGTAAAAGGTTCTGATTAACCTGTAATTGTTTCCGCTAATGTGTTTTTTTGTAGACAAACATATTCACGATCACCTGCACCAGCATAAAGCCACGCGTACAAAAACAGCACATCAACACAAGAATTGCACATGAAGACTTGTTAACTTACATACGAGATAACTGTGTATGACAAGAAACACCAACATTGATCACCGTTCATCGTCATTGAATATGGCGGAACAGTGAGCAAGACCGTCAGTTCTCATCATCCACAAAAACAATCACAGAACAGTACTCGACACGACCAAAGCACCAAAACAACAACAAAAGAAACATCAATTTACACACTCGCACACAAGACAATTGCGGGTGAAATCAGAACCACCAATGTTGCACACTGTTCATCGTCGATGAATACGGCGGAACAGCGATCAACACTGGCAATTCTCATCATCATCCACAAAAACATGCACAGAACAGTACTCGACACGACCAAGACACGAAAACAACATGGCACACATTGGAAGTAACACATGAATGCATCCATGCATTGAATCGAGAATGTCATGAAATGTGGATACTTTTGTCTTAAAACTAGGATCTAGGTAGGAGGAGCCATGGAAATGGCGTAAGGTTTTAGGGTACGAAAGCTGGTGAGAGAAAAGAGAACTAGAAAAGAAGAGAGAGGGATACAAGGAAGGGTGTTGTACCATTTACAGTTGTTGGAAATATCTCAAAGGACTTAAGCGTTTCTGAAGTATAACACTGTACTCGAGGAAGATTACAGGGGAGCACGCGAGTCAACGGAGGTTGCACGAGGGGGCGGACAAAGAATGCGAAAAGCCTCGAAAGGTCGCAACTGGAGGTTACGACTGACCGTTACAACATCACGGATGGTAACCGAAGCGGCAATCGAGTCGCTGTGCGACTCGATAAACCGTTCCTATAACTGTATTCTACAACTGCTTCCTTATCCTTTATATATTGCTGTATGCTTGTTTCTTTAATCAATCACTTGTTCTCATATACTAGTACAAGGGTTCAACTGCCTCAACTTCCGCTGCACTACTCAAGTCTCACTCTACAACCGGGACTTAGTCTCTGAAAAGATCCTAAGGGCTTTTTCTCAGCCCAACAACAGTAATGTTCATTAACCACTACCAAGCCTACAATTATATACTAACATATATAATTTAACACACCCCCTAGGCTTGGTAGTAGAAGGACCCACACACCCCCACACCCCCTAACCTAGCACCCCCATTCCCATCAGCTACGACGACTCAAGCAGGGCCAACCCCAAGGCCCTGGAGATGGCAACGGCGGCCGTCCCGGCAACGGCGATAGCGACGACGACGACGGGCGTGCGGCGGCAACAGGCCTGTGGCGACGACAGCGGGGACAGCGACGGCTTCGGCTTACGACGGCGGTAACGGCAGCGGCCCCCGCCCTTCCGGCGGCGTGTCCAAACTCCGCGACAGGGGGATGATCGGCGAGAGTCAAGCAACGGCGGTGGTGAAGAGGAGGGGACAGAGGAAAGGGGGAAGGGGCGGGGCGTCGGATCTTCAGCGCGGCGCCATTGCTGGCGCGGCGCTTACTGGCGGGCGGGCGGGCTGCAAATCCAGCAGCGACGCAGGTGGTGCGCGACGGCAACAGCCAGACGACACAGCCACGGCACCACTACGACGCCACCACAGCGTGGCATTGGGCCGCGGCTGCTCGTCGACGCTGAGACAACAGCACACAAAGGCCGCCGCGGCATCTCGGAAAATGTGCCACGGCGGCAGGCAAACGGAAGGCCGCGACGGCGGCGAAGTAAGGACGGATACGCGGCGGAAGCGTGGCCCGTGCGACGCGACGGGGCCAGCGCAGCATGACGGGGAGGGAGTGCTCGGCGGAAGCGAGAGGAGCAGGCCCGGGAAGGGAACCAGCTCTGATACCATGTCGTAAAACTAGGATCTAGATAGGAGGAGGAGCCATGGAAATGGCGTGAGGTTTTAGGGTACGAAAGTTGGTGAGAGAAACGAGAACTAGAAAAGAAGAGAGAGGGATACAAGGAGGGGTGTTGTACCCTCTACAGTAATGTTCAGTAACCACTACCAAGCCTACAATTATATACTAACATATATAATTTAACAACTTTCTCCAACCCATCAAGCAATCTCTGCACTGTTATGCATGTAGCATATATGTACCACACCAAGACGTGCTTAACGTTACAATGCACGAACACTGATATGAAACACACAACAAATTACAGCACGTCACATAAAGAAATGACAAGAACACATACGCTACGCATGCATGCAACGAAATGGACATTGAATGATACAGACAAACAAGACTCAAATGCCATGCAATAATGATAGTGACAGACTGGCATGTGCGCTGGCGAACAAATGGAGATGATAAATAGAACAGCGCGTGAAAATGAACACAAAAACACCGCCCAAGATCAAACACTAGGGACGGCACAAGTTTAGAAGTATAAGCAAATGCTCTATACCTCTCCATGTATCCGAATCCCCTAACACTTTCACCCATTTTGCACATCCCAATTTTATTCCCTTCCCTCCCCCCCTCACTCTCTCCCTTCCCTTCCCTTCCCTGTGCATTATTAAATATGCAGCCACTCATTATGCATACGGAGATTAAGAACAGGCACAACCAAAAGCTAGACATGTGGAACTACTTATCAACCAGCACACCTCTCAAACCCCCTGTTCCACACCATCCCACTCCTCCCTCCCTCCCTCCACTCTCCCCCCCAGCCCCCCTTTTTCCTGTTCCTTTCCACCCCATCCTCCACACACCCCTATATATTTTGTAGAGCAGGAAGAATATTTCTTCAGTCATGGTCTGCACCAAGGGGTGCAAGCAGAAAGAGAAGCATGATTTGACATTGGAGGGAGGAAGAACGGAGGGAGGAAGAGCGGAGGGAGGAAGAGCGGAGGGAGGAAGAACGGAGGGAGTAAGAACAGAGGGAGTAAGAAAAGAGGGAGTAAGAACAGAGGGATTAAGAACAGAGGGAGGAAGAGCAGAGGGAGGAATAACAGAGGGAGGAAGAAAAGAGGGAGGAAGAGCAGAGGGAGGAAGAACAGAGAAAGTACGAACAGAGGGACTAAGAACAGAGGGAGGAAGAACAGAGGGAGTAAGAACAGAGGGAGGAAGAACAGAGGGAGTAAGAACAGAGGGAGGAAGAACAGAGGGAGTAAGAACAGAGGGAGAAAGAACAGAGGGAGGAAGAGCGGAGGGAGGAAGAACAGAGGGAGGAAGAACAGAGGGAGTAAGAACAGAGGGAGTAAGAACAGAGGGAGGAAGAACAGAGGGAGGAAGAACAGAGGGAGGAAGAACAGAGGGAGTAAGAACAGAGGGAGTAAGAATAGAGGGAGTAAGAACAGAGGGAGTGAAAACAGGAGGAGTAAGAACAGAGAGAGGAAGAACAGATGGAGTAAGAACAGAGGGAGTAAGAACAAAGGGAGGAAGAACAAGGGAAAGGCAAGCGAAAGCAAGCAACAGCCAAGGGAAAGGCAAGCGAAAGCAAGTAACAGCCAAGGGAAAGGCAAGCGAAGCAAGCAAAAGCAAGCAACAGCCAAGGGAAAGGCAAGCAAAAGCAAGCAACAGCCAAGGGAAAGGCAAGCGAAAGCAAGCAACAGCCAAGGGAAAGGCAAGCGAAAGCAAGCAACATCCAAGGGAAAGGCAAGCAAA